GCTTGCTTCATTCTCCTCCTCCCCCACTCCAGAACACTCTTCTTCCTCCTCATCTTCCTCCTCCTCCTCCTCCTCTTCCTGTGCGGCTGCCATGGCCTTCATCCCCGGAGAGTTTGTCACCCGCAGACGAGTGGCCACTGAACGTTGAAACCTTCCTCTGTTGGCTGCGTTTCCAACAGCCATGCTGGGCTGTTGTTGGTTGTTGAAGCCCAGCACTGGGATCAGCTGCACCGGGTCAGGAGTCAGTCCAGCACCAGGAGCTCCTCCAGCGTTTCCCTGACGCAGCAAAGCAAGCAGACTGACCGGCCCACCGCTGGTAACCTGCCCCTGTGGGTTAGTATTCAGTCCGCCTGTCTGGCCCACAGGGAATGGCCCACCTTGCAGTGCAGTTGCAACGGGAATGAGCTGCTGCAGAGGAGCCTGGCCTAACTGAGTTCCTACAGGTTGGAGGAAAAATGAAGCACCGATTTGAATCAAACGTGCCACAAGTGGTTCCTCATTTAGTGGGACTCCATTTTGAGCCGCAGGGTTGGCGTTTTTGCCAGTGGCTGCTCTGCCGTTATTATTACCAACCCCTTTTTCCTGAGCCTCAGCACTCGCTGACACCCCGCCGTGCACCACCACGGCCAAGGCCTGGAAGAGAACCCACAGGAAACAGAACATGTTTTATCCCACTGACAGTCCACACTCAACGCTGGTTCTACTTCCTTCACTTATATAGAGAAGACCGACATCTGTGATCATCAGCAGAGCTCCAATCAGAGTCCTGCACTTGAACTCAACAACAACAACGACCTGTAGTCATCATGACCAGGCTACAGGCTATTTTTGCTTTGTTTGCTTTGTTTGCTCATGGAGAGGGTCATTATTTAGGATTATGTGGTGAAACTGTGACCGTGAAGCCATGACTTGCATTTGTCCGGCTACTGTAGAACAAGAGAGATTTTATCTTTAAGAATTTAAAAAAATAAAATTGTTTTCTATCTATCTATCTATCTATTGATTTTTTGTATCAACTGACCTGGCATCTGAGTTCTCGAGTCACATGATGTGAAAAAAAGTATTGAAAAGAGAAAAAACAACAGCTGTCCGCAGCTTTATTTTGAGAAACAATGATTAAGAAACATTTACATCCAGAACCACTAACACAGATACTTGTATAACGACCACAATGTTTTTAGAAGATTTGCTAAGCCTTCCGTCACTACTGTGATTTGGTGTTAAATTTCACCTAATAAACTGCTAAAATATAAAAGATAATAAAAATGAAGCCAGCTTAGTCCAGGTTACAGAAAGACAAAATACCGTAAGCTAAAACCTCAATAGTTAATAAAAAAATGAAACTTTTAATAACTGTTTTATCTAGAATTTTAAAAACATTAAAGTGTATTATTAATTATTAATCCAGTTGTACAATCTGTCCAGAATCCACATGGCTGTCCATTGGGTCATGGTACAAAATGCAGCTCAGAAAAGGAGGTTTTGGTCCATGTCGTCTGTAGGGGAAAAATTAGTATACATATTTTTACTGAAAATAAAAAACTACTTCTCCATCAAGGCTTTTAATAAAACGTTATTCATTCTTATTCTTAACAATTCATAAAATTATTCTTATTCTTAATTTTATTATTCATGATTAATTGAATTAATGACGTGCTGTTGTTCTCACCATTCTTGATCCCAAAACAAGAGATCCACTCTTTAAAGGACACCTGCTTATCCTTGTCAACATCACACTGCTGGAAGAAGCGGGAGGTGCAGTGCTCCATGGGCACCAGGGGGACCCTGAGCGGGGCCAGCTCAGAGACGGACAAGTATCTGCAGACACGGACCATTATCAAATGAGTACTTTCATCATTTTGATTTGACAAATCTTATCAAATTGTATATGAAAAAAAAGTATATATATATATATATACTTATTTATTAATTATTATTTATTAATTATATATCTAAAGGGCAGAATTAGTAATGACCTGTAATTAGGGGACTGCTGTGAGTGGTTTATGATAAGCAATGAATAAAACATAATTTACAAAGTATAAAAAAACATGATGAAAAATGATAGAAAGAGAAACATCAACATTAACATCAACATCTGCCACAACAACCTGTCCGAAGGGTGCTGGTCCAGTTGGGCAAACTGCCAGTGAACTGGGTAAATGTACATGTTGTAATTCTTCTCAAAGTCATGAGCAAGAAGCTCCAGGGAGTGATCGCCTGCATGAAGTCTTCTGTCACTTTCAAAGATTTTCTTCACCTGCGCAGAGAAACTCAAGTAATAGACTTAACACCACATTCCAATCTGTCACATATTTATTGAAACCTAATCCAAAGAAGTTCTTCACTCCACTCGTATCAGGTCACAACAAACTGGACTCTGAACCACTCTAAAGCTGAAGCTCTGAAGGACTGTGCCTCACCCTAGAACGTTGTTTCGCAGTAAGAAAGCCAGGGGACGTGGAGTCGTTCTCGAAGAGCTGCAGGAGAACATTTTTGAGCCAATCCCTCATGCGGAGAGGAAACTGGGCCAATTCTGTGTCCCTACATGGAGGTATGACTGGAGCAGAGAGGACAGATTTCTGTTGTTTTTTTGTTTCATTTTTTATCTTTATGAGTTATAAAACGTGCGGTCAAGGGAGTAATCAATCCTCACATTTGCACGGTCCGGTGTAGTCCAGATAAAGTTTGCTGCCCCTCTTGGTGCCTTCAAGGTTGCATTTAGTGGCGAAGAGTGCACATGACGTGTCATATGTTTTGTTGTCTGTCCCACAGACCTTGGTCAAACACAACAGTGAAAACAACAACCCTACGCAGTCAAAGCATCACATGATACTGTTCAGTGAGTTGTACTTACACGATCAAAGTCATTCACAGTGGAAGGACACTCTGACGTCTCCTGACACACACAGCCCGGCTCGTTGTTAGCATCCAGTTTACAGGTTTTTCCCCGTTTGCAGCGGAACCCCTCACATGGATCTGGGTGGGGGAGGCGGAGGGGGGAGGGTACCCACAAGTGATCTACTTTTTATTCTGATTTTCATATATGATATTTTCATTATCATTATTATTATTATTAGCATGGTCTGTCACCTCCACATGCTAACTTTGACTTTGACGTTCCGGTGACATTTGTATTTGACCAGTGAACAGGACATAATCGGCCTCATTCACTCTATAAGCCTTCAGAGCTGTGTTTTGGTAGTGACCATTACACGGCAGGGCAAAACTGAAAAATCACCCTGTCAGCAAAATACGGCAATGGTTCCTAACCACTGGACCCTGGACCAATCCCCGGTCAGGGGTAATTGTGAAATTATGATAATAATTTTTTTTTAATCAACCATAACAATGAGTTCTTCAACTAAACCGAGTCCTGGAACTACTTAGTTTGTGACACAAAAACCTGGGAACCACTGCCCTACAGAACTGCTGGGTTACTGATGTACCAGTGCTGATGTATATTCACAGTGATAAATGTCATGGTTGCTGAGTGGACCGACCAGGTTGTCCTTCAGGCTGATGAACCTGCGTGCCTCCAGTGAGCGTGGGCTTCAGGTTAGGATAGAGCTCCACCGTCGCTCTGATCTGCACTGGATTTATTCCCACCAGAGAACCCTGAAGGAAAAAAAGGAAAGATTTAGGTTAATATATAACTATTTTAAAAACTTTTGGACATTTCAAAACACCTGGTGATAGAATTCTGATTTTGTGTGCATGACATAGGGTCACAAAGGAAATGAAAAGTGAACTCTTTACCCTTTTTCCCATCTTTCTCCGTTTTGCCTTGTGCACGGTGTTGTCGCTGCTGCTGTTCTCAGGTTCCTGAGAGTCTCCTTTGCTCAGTTCCTGTCCAGGCTGCACTTCCTCTCTCTGTGGAGAATGCTTTTTTGACCGCTTGCTCTTTTTTTGCTTCCTTTTCGTCTCCTTATTTAGAGAGCCATGAATCATCTTGTTATTCTTTCCAGCCAGTAAGGACTCGTCCTCAGGGATAATGTCCTGATCCAAACTCCTCTGTATTTGTCGTGAATTCTTGTCATTGTTCCCCTGCAGCCTATCTTCATCAGACTCCTCTGTTCCTTGTATGTTCTTTTCATAGTCCTCTGCTTTAAAAGCAGTCTGTACATCATCATCATCATCATCATCATCATCATCATCACTGGGAAGGCTGGTTTTGGCTGCCTTTAACCTCACAGATTCGAGGATGCCTCCATCAGCGGCCGTATCAAGATCAACCATTGTATCTGGGTCTGTGCTGCCTTCAGTGTCATCTGTCAACAGAAACATCTGCACCTCTCTATCGGCCATTTTTTCTTTATTGTCCTTGGACATTTTCTCTTCCTTCTTTTCTTCGACCTTCTCTTTTCTCTCATCAGTTGCCTCTTTCAAAATCATTTTTGTACCAGCCTCCTTCTTCCTGTCAGCTCCCACCTTTGGGCTGATCTGTACAGAATCAGGTTTCATTTTGTCATTCTCTTCTCCTGCTTCCTCCTCCTCTAGACCTCGTCCTTCCATCGCCTCCTCTTCTGCCTCCGTCTTTATGAGGTCTATCAGCTCCTCCTCGCTTAACAGAACTGCAGAGTCCTCTTCTCTTTTTTCAGAATCATCAAACGCTCCTTTCTGATCATTGGTCTCGGCTTCGACCTCTTCCTGATCCTGGCTCCTGATTTCAAATGTGTCTAAAGTGGGTAAAACTTGAAGCTGATTGGTCTCCTCTAGTACGTCATCCTTCATGATGAAAGATTAAATTAATATTAATTTAAAGTGAAACACAACACATTAGAAAAACTCACTTTGGCTCAAAGCTCACCTTTGGTTTGGCCGTGTGTGAGATCCCGTGTCGTCTGTGGTGTTTTCCACGGCTCCTACTCTCCACCTGACCAGATGAATCAATGTTGTAAGACGTGTCATTTTTCCAAAATTACAATTAATGCTAGTCAGGGCATTATTTATTCATTGTTTAATGATGATATTTTTCATACTAATACAATTAAATTTCTACTCACAGGTGGCACAAGTGTGACTGCCAGTAGACAAAGAAAAAACACACAGGTCCTCATAACTGAAACAATGAAAACAGGTTTAGAGATTTTGACAAAACACAATAATATATATCTCTCTATATATACACACACATTTATATACACTTATATGTATGTATGCACATTTGGTTTTTCTATTATAGTTTCAATTGACTTTCTCCTCATCTCATAGAATATTTTTCTTATCAAGGAAAATGTGCTGTGATTCTGCACAATTACTGTAAATACGGCTTTATGTCTCTTTACGACGCCTGAAGGAGACATTTCTTATTGCAATTTTGAACATTTGAAAGCATCCAGGATTCCCTTAAACAGTCATCTACCAACGTAGCTTTGTTTATCACAATACACGGTGGTCTCATTTGAAATAAACGTAAAACAAGTTTTTCCTTTATGTTATCTTTTATTTATTGCCTTTTGAATTTTTGTTTCAGTAAATGACTCAACTATTTTATTTGTATTTGAACTCCAGAATTTCTACCAATTTCCTGGCAAAATGAGTTTGTAAAATGAACATGGCCCACGGATAAAACATGAACTTTGCAGAACTATGGAAGTTCAAAAAAGACTGGGGCATCTGTACGCTGCCAACACTGTTGTCAAAGGCAACCAGCCTCAGAGATGCTTCACTCTCAAAAGTCCCATTCAGAGCTAAAGTAAACATCGGCAGCTACCAGACTGGAAAAAGTTCACTAAGTCTACAGACGTTTTGTCTGTGGATCAAAACGCACAGACATCAATGAACCTGCCCAGGCGAACAATCGGTCCGCAAACAGCCTGGACGGCCAGATGCAAGGCAGAAACAACCGTCCAATGTCATCAAAGTAAACTTAACAGTATATTAGAAAAACAGACATAAATATAGATCAATGTTCCATAAAAGAATGCACCTACATACCTTCAGTTAAAACCACTTTTGTCAAAACTAGAGATTGTCATTGTTATACATTATAAATATCCTACCTTTAATGCTTGAAACTGTCACTGATACAGTGTGTGAAACAGCTTTAAATGTGTTATTTTGCAAACCCTGCTGGATCAGTTTTGATTGACATGTTTGTTCATTGTTTAGAACATGTTCTTTGTAGCTGTGTGATTGGTTAATGACGAAACAATTAAAAACCGGGTTCATCTACAACAGATCTTCTACAACATATTTATACATTTTTTCACAAACAGTAGAACACACACCTGGCGCTTTCAAAAACACAACTACAATGCAGTACTGAACAGTGTCCACACAAACAGACCTGTTACTCTGGTCAGTCACTATATTTCTACTACCATACAATATAAATACATTTAAATTCAATTTTACAGAATTTAAAAACTATAGAACATATTGCCAGTCATCAAAACAAACAGTATATTTCAATTAATCTCTATTGTCCACAGTGAGTCTAAAGGTTTTATAACATAACATAACATAACATAACATCACCATCAAAATGTCACATTCTTTATGATGAGCTGTTTTACCTGAGGCTGGCAGATAAATGAGAAAGAAGAATCCAGATCAAACTCTGTGCAGACTGTGTGGACCTTGTGAGGACGACCCAGACAAAGCTTTCACCCTCACTCTCTTTTACAAACACACACACACACACACACACAAAACACTGGGCATGTGGTGCCAAAGTTCTGTTCCCGTGTTGGGAGGGTCTTTTGGCAAAAAACAATTGTCTCCTAAATATTATTTGAAGTTAAAAAAGAATGAACATCTATATTTTATAGGAAGAATATAAAAAACTTTTAACCGATGATAAATCAATCATACAAAACCTTTTCATGACAAATATATTTAAGGCCACTGGATGTCACTCTGGTACAGATCTGTGTTTCTGAAGGTCACGACAATCAGCAAGAAAAATTAGTACAACTCTAAAAAAAGTAGTTAAACTACTTTCCTGAATACACTCACAGCAGTAATCAGATTGAGCAGTGATTTAGAGCTTTGGATAATTGTATGATAATTATATAATAATTACATAATTGCAGCAGTTAACGATATGTTTTGGCGGGGAGCAAATTGTCCAATCAACAGTAGTGCAGTTTGGTAGGGCTTGTTCTCACTCTTATTCTCATTGTTCTTTTAAACCAAAAGAAATGGCAAAAACAAAATGGTAATCTTGGAAATTCTGTGAAATACGGAACATTTGCTCATATGTGTGACTCATACGTAAGATGATTTATTGATTTTGCTTTTATACTTGAATTTTAGATTGTTTGGTGAAGGAGTTTTGTATTATATATATGTATATACTGTATATATATACTGTATATATAAGAATATATATATGTGTGTGTAATCAAGTTGTACTCGGACGGTGTAGTACTCAACTTGGTTTTATATGACACAACACACACAAGCTGTTTCAAGCTGTGATGTAAAATCAATGAGAAATGACAGAGATGTGTTTCCAGTTATCTTTGGTCACATGACATCATTACAGATGAAGAAATCTAAATTTTAGGCACAACTCTCAAACACCACATTGCATGGTTTTTCAACCTTGGGTTCCCCAGCCCGTGTGGGGTCGACTGGAATTTAAATGGGTTCTCATGAAAAGACTAATAATTGATATATTAAAAAAAGGATTATTTTTTAAATGTATGATTGAAAACACTGTACACATTGTGTGCACTAATCTGACTGCTCTATATTTGTAACAAACAGGTTTAAAAAAAAAGTCTGACATTTGTGATTGTGTCAAAATGGGGTCACAAGCCAAAAGCGGTTAGGAGCCACAACCATGTTGTTCACTGTGTTCTCCAATATACACACACACGCCCATTTACTACAGTTTTCTATTATGGCACAAACTAAATGTTAGATTTCATCCTAAAACAAACACCAAAGCATTTTGTTTACCCTGCTCTGCTTTTTATATCCCTGTACAGTTCCAGCTGCTGCCAAGTTTATACTTGAAAATACTGGTACTGGATGAGCAGGATTAGTGCTGAGTACCTTTATATTCTCTGCGGTACTATTTTAAATATCTATTAGAAATGAGAGAAAAAAAGAGTAAATAATGTGACTACTTCCGGTCACATCTGTCACAGACAGGCTAATGTAGTCTAAAAACTGAAGTAACCTCTGGGTGTTTGGGCATTACTGCCTAAACAAGCCTCATTCCACGCCTCCTCACTCCTCCCCTTACTGAAGCAGCATCTTTCATCGAATGTGAGCTGTGGTTTTGGCGAACAGCTCCAGACTGCTGAACATCCAGTGTAATTACATGTTTCTTTTGCATGGTTGTAGTCCAGAGTGAGGTTAAAGAAGTATTTCTGTAGTTATTTTAAACCAGACCTTATAAGGATTTCCAGGAAGTGATTATGAGCCGCAGGAGGGAAATACAGAAGTCTTTATTTAGGCTCTGTGCCATATTTCCAAGAATGACTTCTATTTTGACTTGTGTGCTACAACGACGATGTTATGTTAGAAAACAATGATTTGGCTTCTCTCCTTTTTTTTCAGCAAATTTATGAACATTTACAGTACGTTTAGTTCATGTTAATGAGTTACAAATCCACATAACAATAACCATCAAATTTAAACCAAATCCTCAGATGTTTTTCCACCAAAGTCTGACAACGACCTTACATCTTACACACGGTCGTTATTCAGTAAAATATTAAGGATGTAAAAATGCTATTGGCAGTGGGGTCGATAGTAAGACTACAAACATCTATGTCACCGGAAACATGCATGTCCCTGTCTGGCCCTCCTTTCCTCTCTGTGTGGGTGACCGTGTTTTTTCAGTCCACCACAAACCCTATGGTTTTATATGCACAACTATATTTCACTGAGCACTGGGAAAGGGAGGGTGGAGAAAATGTAGTGACAAAATGAAACAGTTGCATGTGTGTATGTGTGTGTGTGTGTGTGTTGTTTTGAGTTTACTCTTTGGAAAAAAAAATCCACCTTTGCGTGTCGACATGTTAAATGAGAGACATACACAGACACACACCCGGAAGGAAGTGATGCAATCGTCTTAATTGCGAATGCTTATATACCGAGGTTCTAGAGCATATCCACACATTCAGCTTCATCCACTCCTCACCACCGTTTGCTCGGAGCAGACACTGGCCTCACTGTTCATCACTGAACACAGTGGACAACAAACTTTGGAATTCAACAGAACAAAAAGGTAACTCTTTTTTTCTGCTTTGGTTGCTGCTTGTTTTTTTTTTTTGTTTTTTGTTTTTTTGGTTTTTTTTTTATCTTTTATTATTTGACGTTAATTTTGCTTTATTTTCTCTGATCATATTTGCAGCTCAAGTCCAGAACGATGAAGGTGACCATCATAACGTTGTGTTTGATTGGAGCAATTGTTGCCAATCCAGTAAGTATAAGTATTTATTTAGTACAGAAATATGCAGCCTGCTCAAACATTTCCAATACTTATTGAATTAATTAAATTATAATTTATTTTCCCATAACATATTTGTGTTCCCAATTGTAAAAATCCATATGTATTACAGAGAATATTTATGATGAATAATTCTAAAAATAAGTGTTTTCTTTCTTCAGATTTCTTATAATTTCCTTTTGGAGTCAAGTGACCTTAACTCAAACTCGGTAAGTGCCACAAAAACATACAAAAAAATATTTTATGAAATTTAATGTAAAAAAACTCAGTATAACAAACTTCATTAGTCGGCTCAGTAGTCAACAAGATTAAAGTCTAAAGTAATTGTAATGATACAACTTCCTCTGATTGGACCTTTGATGGAGCCAGACTTGTATGCACTTAACTCATCAGTCGTTCGATTGTGGCAAAGCTACCATTTTTTTAGACCCAGTCTGCGGGGAACAAACTGACAAAGGCTGTGGTAACTCCAAGGTTCTTCAGACCTCAAGACAGTTCCCATTTCAGAGACTATTGTTTTGCGTATGTCTACACCACTGATGCAGCAACAGTCTAAGCCGACCCTGGCTGACATAAATAGGCCTTAATGAGTGTGATGATTGTTGACACTCTAAACAAAGTGTGTAATTAACTGCTGCACACGCTTATTTCTTTTTCTTCTTTTTTTTCATAGACTGAAAGTTTGTCTGTTTCAACATCATCTGAAAATAACTCCACAGAGAGTCAGGTAATGTCAACACTCATTCAGAGTAATCAGTAAATGACTATTTTCTGGTGCAGCTCGTTAGCACCACGTGTGGCTGCTCAGCATCACCATGTGTTTCTTTTGTGTTGCAGAGCTCACAGGACTCTTCTTCAAATCAAGTGAGGAATTCAGATTGTTTTCCTACCTCAACTTTTCTTTTTCTTTTTTTTTTTTTTTAAATATCCCCCTGTAAATGAACTGGATGTTAATTTTGTCAAACGTCTTCTTTTCCAGAGTTCTGAGTCCGAATCGTTAGAATCATCTGAGGACAAGGTGAGTGGTTTTTACTCCCTGTTTTCCTCAAAGGACACATGTTCATGTTTTACATTTTTGCATTTCTAATTTCATATTTGTCCTTTCCTTGAAAAAAAAGACTTCTGAGGAGAGTGACAGTCAGTCAGATGAGAGCGATGGGGTAAGGAAACAGATATTCAACACGTACAACGCCTAAATGATTTTACAGTGTTATGCATTCTATGTCAGATTACTATGTGGCTTATAATCTCTAAACTGTTTTTCCACAGAGTGACTCTGCAGATGAAACCAAAGATGACAGCATGGGCAGTGAGGAGAACGTTCGAAAGGTAGGAAGCAGACATTTTTCACACATACTTAGATTAAATGTGCACCTTACATTAACACTGTACTGGGTTTGTTATCTGCAGCAGAGCTGGCTGCATGCCTTTGTCAGTGTCACTGATGACCTGAGTGCTGAGAACAGCAGCAGCACAGAGGTCACCGGTCAAACGGAACAACCCAACAACAAGCTGACTGAGGTGGAGCCCACCCGCACCTCCCCTAAAATGGCTCTGAAACAGAGGAAGACCCTGCCACTGGTGGAGAAATCCACCGACACCAGTGATTCCACCAGCGAGAGCGCAGACACCAGTGAAGTGACCGCTGCTACCGCTGCCCCCGACGAAAGCAGCGAGAGCAACAGTAGTGAGAGTCACGAGAGCAGCGAGAGTGAGGACTCCAGCAAAAGTGAGGAGAACAGTAACGCCAGCGACAGCGGTGAAGTGCAGCAAATGAAAACCAATGGCTGTGTGAACGGGACCCAGAGCTGTGAGAGTGAAGAATACTTCTTCCAGGACATTGGGGATGACGCCCATCATCCCTTAGACAACCTGTTGGTGCCAGATGATGATGAGAGGGAGTTAAGTCTGAGGAGATGATTATATGCTCTTTAATAAGATTTACTTTTTTTCCACTATGAACTAAAACATCATTTTTGACTGTCTGAAGACCTCATAACAAAGGCACGTTTGCTCTTGTCTGACAGTTCTGGGCAAAAATATAGCGTTATGAATATAGTGTGGTTGTCATTGTGACAATTATGTAGTCTAGTATTTACTTTGTTTTGACAACAATAAATGGGTAATATAATAAGGATATGGGTTACTTGTAATCATTTATTAGAACTAGATGATGGTGACTTACAGGGAGAGAGAATATAAACACTAGCCTACTTGTACTTTACTTGAATTTCTTTTTCTTTTTATGCATCCATGTACTTCGGCACAAGTACATTCTGGACAGAGCCCTCTACCTTAACATGTAATCAAAACATTGTTAAACTGTACGCTTCACTTTTTTTTTTTTTTTTTTTTTAAAGGTGATTAGGTGTTTTAAAAAATATATGATGGAGACACGTGTCACAAAATGTGTTCCGCGCCCCCCTCTGGTGGACGGTTATATAGCAACAACAAAAAACCTTTAGATCGGCCATCAATTTGCCTTATGTTTATAATTACATCTCAAAATTTGTTCTTAGGAGACATTGTGGAAGTATGCTTAAAATTACATCATGTCGCACTGTTATGAGTTTTTTAGTTAGATCAAATTTGTGTAAATACAACACGGTTGTATATCTTTATAGTGGCAAATCAATAAACTATTTTTATTTCAATTATTTCGTCCGCTTTACTGGTACAGTACTTTATTCTATTTGTTTGGTTTTCTTTTTATTATGGGCGTATTGCTGTATTTTAGTGTAGATGAATTAAAAGATTGATTCCAGTGCCACAATTTTTAATGATTGTGTCGATATAGTTTTGTCAATTAAGGTTTTTAATGTGTGTATTTGTTGGGTATTTTATTACTTGGATTTAAGATAACTGAAGTTCAGATGTTCGTAGGGTTAAAACAATTAACAACGTATTTTGTTTCCGTGGCAGCAGTGGCCGGTTAGCTCAGTTGGTTAGAGCGTGGTGCTAATAACGCCAAGGTCGCGGGTTCGATCCCCGTACGGGCCATCTACTTTTCCACATTGTTTTTTTTTTTTTAAAATGCATTCAGAAAGGTTCCCTGCCAAAGAAAACGTTCTTATTCATCTGAACAACGTCTTAACTCTCCTTTATACCATTTTGTTAATGGTTACATAATATAAGCCACATATAGAATCTAGGTTGTTGTCAAAGTCATGTTTTAATTAGTAACTGTGGTAGTACGGAAACAATACCAGCAATTGACGACAAAATCAAATTCTTTGTGTTTTCACAACAACTAGATGTTCTTATTAAAGTTATCATGTATTAAGGAAAAAAATACTTTTGAAACAATGTTTAAGAATATCAATACAAAATCCATTTAAGACGTCTAAAGACTTAAAAGTAAGATGTCTGTCAAAGTAAAAAAACATTTCTTAGCACAGACGTTTCATTTTGTTTCCTTTATCTCAAGGATATTGTTTAATGATCCATACACTGTAAGTGAAAACAAAACAAGCCCAATATTTCTGACAAAATATTCAACAATTAGCATTGAGTGTTTTTAATTTTTTGGCAGATCATTTTCCTATCTGTGAGGAATGTGAGACTTGAGGTGGTCCTTCAGTGCTGGTATTGTGTTGAGCTCTTTGTGACACTTGTGACAGAAGAGTGGAAGTTTCAGTAACTCAGTGACACCTTCTTTTACTGCGACCCTTCCATTTGTTTCTAGCATTTGAATTACATCTGCAAGAAAGGAAAAATGGATGAATTCCCCATTAAAGACATAAATAAATATGAAATATAAAGGAACAGAATACATTTACTCTCACCTTGGGAATTGATAAAATAGTCAGTCGTAAAAGAGTTCCAATGCTTTTTGTTTTTTAAACAAGGAGAGTCGAAGTCCTGGCTGATCACATGGAGGTGAACGTGACTGTAAAAAGTCAAACACAATTTAATTGGGTTACATTCATCAGTAGAACCAAAGACCAGATCAGAGATTTACCATTATAGACCCCCCTCATGGGACAATGATAAAATTTTCCCAAAAATTGAAAATGTTTTATATTGGGTTTTTACTCACCTCATACTTGGGATGGCATGGTACCCTGTGCGGAATCCTAACGAGCTTGCATCAGGGCACTGTCGGACCATCTGGTCTGCAACCTTCTGCATGTGTTTCACCAGATCATTGTGCTCTGAACCCAGGGCCTTCAGACTAGGGATGGACTGCCAAGGAAGGACCAGCCAGTGGTAGCGAGCTTTGGGATATTTGTCTTTGATAACTACAACTTTATCATCCTTGTATACCTTCAAAAAGAAGATCAACCAGGTACTGATGCAGTGTAACACTAGTTAAAATGCAAATATTTTGGCATCAAAACACCTGTACAAAACGTACCTGCATCTTTGGGTCTTGCATTGAAACTTTCAGACCCTGACTCCAATGTCCAACACTTTCCTATAAAGTATGACAGTTTTTATTTAGTATAAACAGTATTGAATGATTGAAATGTGTTAAAAGATATGTCCATAGACAAACCACAAATTGTAATAATAACAGAAAGGCATTTTTCTCTTACCGTGGTCTTTTTGGCTTCTGTGTGGCTTCCTGACACAGCAACCTTTTCAGTTTGTTTGCTTGCCTTCGTTTTTGGTGCCTCTAATTGGCTCTCCCTGTCCTCTAAGGTTGAGTCTCTGGGTCTTTTTGGGACACCGTGATTGCCAGTGGAACCATATTTGAACTGAATAGTGTATGGATAGAGCCGGTTGACAATATAAAGCTGCTGTCCAGGCTTCATTTTGTACTCGTTTCCTGTGCCCACCACAGCTGAATCAATAAAGGTAGGATTGGTGCCCAGCTTGTAAAAAACAGTGAAGTATGAAAGAAAATAGTAAATTTATAATGTTGATACTTTCAAAGAATTATTAAATGAACATATGAAAATTAACATAAGAAAAACAATCAATGCAGGCAAAGAATACATGATAGTTAATAGTTTAGCTGTTAGTAATCAAAGAAACAGAAGCAACATAAAAAAATTAAGAACCCCAAATGAATTATATCTGTGTTTTTACATTTCTCAACTTTACCTGTTTTACTTTAACGTAGCCTTTGTTGCAGTCTGCCTTCAATTCAACTGGATGAGAGGAAACAACATTTGGACAGGTTAATGTATTTTTAATTCCAAAGTTGGCAATATTTTGGGTTAAAAGATGCAATATCATATTAGTTTTATATATCTTTTTCAAAAACTCAAAACTCACAATGTTGTTCGATTGTATTTTAATATTAATAATTTATTAAAACGTTATGATTACAACAATACATTGAGAAAGTAAAACATGACGGGGATGCACGGTGCAGTAGGAGTGTGTTGAAATATAGAAAAAACATGCGATATATGATACAAGTTCTTTTATCTATAGACACGTCAATGAAAAATATACTATGTTCTGTCAGTGTATATTCCCCCTAATAGTTTTTGATATAATACCGATATAGGTTTAACCGACACAGTGCGTTTCGTAGTTGTTCATTACCTTGTTGTCTGGAGCATTTTTTGTCTTTAATAGTCGTTTCTGGTCCTCGGCCGAGGATAACAGGGTGTGAGTGGGGCAGATGAATGGGTTGGTGAAGTCCGGCATCACTTAGAAGCCAACATGTCGGCATTTTAATGTCTTTTCAAGCAACTCTCTTTTTCACATCTGCACTTGTTTTCGGTCTACCCACGCTTGTTTTACTAACGACGACATATGACGTAAGTTGTCATACTGCCCCCTCTGTCTCGGAGTTAACAATACATTATTCAATAATTACTCAAATCAAACTTAATAAACTAATAGTGACTGAAAGATATTTATATGATATGAAATCTCATAAAAGATCATTTTCTAGTGTTCTAGTCTCGTCGTAGTTTCCCGACTACTGTAGATTAAAAGGCTTTCCATCCATTCCACCAACATCTTTAATATCAACACACACTTTTATATATATTTACATACATATTTTTACGTGTACTCGAATTGTTATTTTATACACAGCGCCCCATCAAAAGCAAGTACTAGACAGTAGACTATTTTAATTTTATAACGATGTTTGTTTATGCCACTGGAAGGCAGCACTGCAGCAATGGGCTGACAAATCTGAAGAGGAAGAAGAAGGAGGGGGAATGGACATCGCCGTGTGAAGAATCTTTGTTCTGCACGTTCAAGACTGCTGTGACCGTGTCAAGATTCTCTGTGTTATCTTCATATAAGGTTAGAATTTAATTAATTTTCAGTATAAATCTAACTTGTGCTAGTATTGTTCCTCTTATTCCGAATTAATTATTATCTTCGTTAATAATCAGGCTAGGTAACCTGCTAACGTTTGTAACTCTCCTGTTCGTTAGGCCTGGTATATAAAAATATCGATATTAGGCATTAAAAGAAGTTGTCATTTTAAAACATCTACATTTTTAAATATACTTATTATTGTACCATTTATTTACACGATGTGGTTGAATTAAATATCAGTGAGAAAGACAGGCACTTGAAGCCTGTTTTTTCTTCTTGTCTTGTTTTCGTGTATATATAAGTATTATGGCTATAGTAAATAGTTGATAACTATATCGTATTGGCATGTATCTGTCCAGTGTAAACATTTTTTATCTCAATAGTAAATCATAGAAAATAATTTCTGAAGAAAAATAAAACGTGGACGCTTCTTCAGAAGCCGTGGCTCGAGTTTAGTTTCGTTTACCCAAAAAGAGGGGTTGACTGTAGCCGGGATGTAATGGCATTTCGTGCTGTTATGCTTTATTTTGTACAACATTGCATAACTTGTGAACTTGTGACAACTGGTGTAGAAGTTACATTTAGTATATATAGATTGTAGTGTAGTTACTTTATTTCATGTCTTACGTCTAGTATGTATATTATGGCTACACTATTTGCTCTTACTTTAGTTGGTATTGCTAAGTTTTTGATGCTGTGTTAATATTAATTTACCCAGCTAGAGAAATTAAAAGCTATTAAGTATTTTTTAAAAGGAGGTATAAATTAACAAAGAGATGATTATGCCACTAATTCCCTTTAATGTCAGGCACTGTTTGTGAAACCGTCATAACAGGTGGTCCAATGAACATACCTTATGTTTACTATGTTGTTTGCTCTAATGATCTTTTTCTTTCTTTTTTCTTGTTGCTTTACCCTTTCATTAAAATGCCCTTCTTGATGAAACCCTTCCCACTGTGGTTGGAAGTTGGAGTGTAATTGTTAAATCCATCACTGGTTCTGAATGTGAACAAACCAGAATATAATAGTTGGAAACTAGACCTTCACAGCAAGATTAGTCCAAAACTTTAAACGTGCTCATCATCCATGTAAAAACAACATTTACTTCAAAAACTTCAAAATTGTATGTATTGTAAAAAAAAAAAGATTTATTTATTAAAATTTATTTTTCGTGATAGAATCTGCACCTGAGTTGCGATTCTGTCCATCCTACACACACACTGCAATTTTGATTGTAAAAATAGTCAGCCCTCTGATCAGTACGATGTAATTCTTACTGTGAGCTGCTGTCGCTGAGAAACATGATGGATAAGACTTTGTTCTAAATGAGTAAATATTTGTCTCCACGTTTATTCTAAGACTAGGTGATTATATGGCAGGCACCAATGATGTAAAAATTACAAATAATTGTGAAGTATTTGTAAAGTATTATTTTGGCTTTTTAACAGGTTATTTTTTTGAGGCGAACATGGTCAAGGAAACAGGTTTCTACGATGCACTGGGTGTAAAACCTAATGCAACACCTGATGAGCTTAAGAGAGCGTATCGGAAATTAGCCCTGAAATATCACCCAGACAAGAATCCTGCTGGGAGAGAAGGTAAATCTATTTTATCGCAACCATAAGTCCAAACATTGCCTGATGATATAAAGAGTTCTATGAACATTTATTAAAAATTCAGTTTTTCCTTTTTTAATCTGTACCAGTTCAAGGAGATCTCACAGGCTTATGAAGTGTTGTCAGATCCCAAGAAAAGAGAGGTGTATGACCGTGGAGGTGAGAAGGCTATAAAAGAGGGAGGAACTGGCGGTGGCGGCAGCGGTGGAGGCTTTGCATCACCCATGGACCTTTTCGACTTATTTTTTGGCGGAGGAAGTCGTATGCAAAGAGAGCGAAAAGGTACGACATAATGACTTTTAACCTATGAGAATATATTATATATATATATATATATATATACCCATATATATATATTTATGTATATATATATAATATAATAACTCTTTTTATTTATTAATATTCCCTACAGCTATTTTAAAAATACAAACCCGTGATCTGTGTTTCTGTAAATAATGTTTTACATTCTGTAATTAACTTTTCACATAGTCGTCCTGAGAAGGACCATGTAATAAGTTCTAATGCAATTTAATCTTTTTATCTTCTTCATCTCAGTGAGATTAAGCATACCATTCTTGTATTGATCACATTCTGTTAATTAAATAAGTAACCTTGTTTTTGTTTTGTTTTTTTATTTTAGGGAAGAATATTGTAAATCAGATTACAGTGAAACTGGAAGACCTTTATAACGGAGCTACAAGGAAACTAAATGTCCAGAAGAATGCTCTCTGTGAGAGATGTGAAGGTACAAACTTTGATTTGTTACCACTTTTACATACTGTCTTTCACAGTGTCACTAAAGAAGAACGATGTACAAGCTGTATTTTGAAGTTAGTTCAAAGATCAGTTAGTTAGAAGTACAATTATGAAGAATACTTTCCATTTACTCACTCTGTAACCATATTTAAAGGAAATGTACCAAACAAAAAGATTAACTCCTTCCTCTTCGACTAGGTCGAGGGAGTCGAAAAGGTGCAGCTCAGATGTGCATGTCTTGCCATGGCACGGGGATGCAGGTCCGCATGCACCAGTTATTACCAGGTATGGTCCAACAGGTGTCCACAGTGTGTGTCAGCTGCCAAGGCCAAGGACAGAGAATCAGCCAGAAGGATCGCTGCAAATCATGCGGAGGCAGAAAGATCATGCGACAGAAGAAGATCTTGGAGGTGCACATTGACAAAGGTAGGAGCAGCAGTGATGAAGGTTTTCATCTGGAGGTCCAGGCTCTCCGTCCCGTGAATATTACTCTTACTGAAATGGTCAGACTGTTTGTTCACATTCTTAAGTGTTTGCACCTCAAGTCTTTAACTTCATTTATAAAGCACTTTAAAATACAGCACTGCCAAAGTGCTGTACACAAATAAGTGAAAAATAAGAACACATGAAGAATCGAATGACAAATAGAATAATAATAACATTATGAACAAATAAATAGTCAATATTGCTTTGTGTGTGTGTGTGTTTATATGTGTGTGGTGTTTTTTCTGTCATCTTGTTGACCTCCCAAACGTTCCCAATATGTTTAACAAAAATGTCATTCAATTGACAGGAATGAGAGACGGGCAGAAGATAGTAATGAATGGGGAAGGGGATCAGGAGCCTGGCCTTGAGCCAGGTGACTTTATCATCGTCCTGGACCAACAAGAACATCCCCAATTCACCAGGTACTCTCTCTTTAGTCTCATCCATTTAGTCATGATTTTATTTTTGAAGTAAATAGTCATGGATGCATGGGAAATAGAAATCAAGTAACAAGACTAACTTGACTATAGCTTATCTACAGTAATGTGAACTGACTCCAGTCTCCTCTATGTATATGTACTGTAACAAGTGTTAAATAAGTTTTGGTCATCTTTAAAAGAAATCTTGAACACACTAATTTACTTTTTACACGAAATCGGTATTCTTTGCTTTGCACTTACATAAGGAGTTACTGCACAGTCTTGTTCCTAAACATAAAATAGTCGTCTTCAGTCAAAGAGTTAGACCTCAGATGATCACTGTTGAATCTATATAAAAATTACTACATTCAGTTTCCTTTTCAAATAAGTTATTTAAATGTAGTGTAGTACTCTAATCTCTAGGTGGCACTATCCTGCTGTTAAAGAGCAGCCATATGTAGGAACCTTTAGTTGGATCAGCTGTTTCCAGTGAGGGGAGTGTAAAATTAATAAACCATGCCTAAGATTCTGGTGTTTGAATAAAAAAAATGTTTAACTACAAAGTCCTGACCTGTGAGCACAAGAATATTCATATTCATTTAAAGTTATGTTGGCTTTGTTAATGATGTTTTGTTTGTGATGCTGTTGTTGTTTTCTGTCTTGTTTGTTTTTTCATCCAAGCTATTCCTATTATTATTAATAATATTATTATCAACACATTGTTTGTCATCAGTCAAAAGACAATCAAGGAAACGTCTTCACCGAGTTTTTCTTCACTCATTTTGTTTGTGCCATCTTTAGAAAAGGAGACGACCTGATCACGTCTGTGGAGTTGCAGCTGGTCGAAGCTCTGTGTGGTTTTAAGAAACCACTGAGGACACTGGACAACAGAACTCTCCTCATCATCGCACATGCAGGTAAATACAGTAGCTCTCTTTAAAATATTTTGCTTGGAAAGAGCAAACAAACCGGATGTCTAAAGATGTAAACTGGAGACTGACTGCAGTCAAAATAAAACAGCAGTGTTTGGAATCAGGTCAGATGAAATGTTAAGTTTCTTGTTATTGCTTTGGCAGGGCAAATGGATCTGAAAACAAAGAAAAGCATTAAGGGCAGAATTGTTGTGAAAGTGTTTTTGAGGCCAGACAGTATAACAGGAGTTGTCCAGTAGGGCTGTGAGATTAATCAGAATTTGATTTTAATGACAATTTTGGCTTTCCATGATTATATAAACAAAATAATCGACTTAAAAAAATGACAGTGTATTGTCAATATTCACATATATACAGTACATATTAATCTATTGATCATGAGCTAAATAGTAAGTTTAACACTCACTTGTCTTTATTGTTACAGGAGAATTAATCAGGCCTGGAGACACTAAGTGTGTCATGAATGAAGGGATGCCCATGCATCGCAGACCTTTTGACAAGGGACGGCTTATAATCAACTTCTCAGTAAGAGACTCTCACCTTTATATCACATGCATGAAATGAAGTGAATGAGGTACATCAGTGTTACCCAGTGGACTGTATGTTCCTGCAGGGCAGGCCACATTTCTACCACCGCTCTAACATGTTCCAGGACACACAAACTAAAAACTCACAGTTTAACTTCCTGTTCCTCTAAACTGACAGCAAAGGCAGCACAAAGTGAAATCTTGCCATCCATACACACTCATCATAGCGAGAGTGTGAGTGTTTATTGTTTGTAACAAGGAAAGCACAGTGAAAATCCCACAGTCAATGAAGTTGCGGTGAGCTATGCAAGAGGGTCAAATTAGCTTCTGTCAGTTTAAGGCTGTAGGTCTTAAAGTTGTGATAAACAACTGGCAGCCCCCATCGGGCCCAGCAAAAGGGTTAGATGTTAATGTAGTTCTGCTGCGTTAGATTTTATTAGTTTTGAAAAACCAAAATGAATAATGACATCGTGTCAGATCTGAAACAGGTCCTGTATTTCTGGGGGCACAAGAACCTGTGAAAAGGAGAGAGAAGGAGACAGGCTCTAACATGAACAACATTAGAAAACAGCAACACAGCCCTACGCTGTTACGCTGAGCACGGTGAAGAGAGAAGTGGATTTATTTCCTAATAAAATTGTCTTTATGAGCTGAAGCCACACTCCAGGGTAAAGTAACTCCTTAACGAGGCCTTTGATTCAAATCTGAACCTACACACACAGCACACGTGGAAAAAATATACAACGGCTGTATTTAAAGACCAAAAGACTACAATAACACTAATGGTAGTCACACACTCCCGTGTACATCAGCTTAGGGGAATTCACAAAGAGCAACTGCCTTCTTGATATGGATGAGTTTGTTGTGGCGCTGCATGAACTGGCACTACTTCACACTAGGCAAATACAAATATGTTATTTCATAGGTCCATTACTGCATTAGCACAGTAACCCTTTTATTAACTTTAGATGTCATTGACCTTATTACAGTTTTTTTATTGAGGTATTTTAACTTAGATGTGTACATGATGGATGGATGAAAAGTGATGTTTGAACATACGTGTACTTAAATGTGGGGTGTTTTTTCACTTGAATATAAGTGAAAAAACACTACTTAAATGTGGGGTGTTTTTTCACTTATTTAAAGAAACACAGTTAAAATATATCTTTGTAATGAGAATTTAACGCGACACATTTGAGCGATATTCAGACTCGATGTCCTGAATATAAGAAAATGTGACTTTGCAGTAGTCACAAATACCTTTTGTTCTCCGCTGAGATGCCGTGTCCAGCCCTGTGTTAAACTATGGTCACGGTTACTTCCACCAGGTGGTTTTCCCACCAGCCAACTTCCTCCCCACAAACAAGCTGAAGGAGCTGGAGCGCTACCTCCCAGACAAACTAGAGGCGGAGCAGTCAGAAAGTATGGACGATGACCTCTACATCTACGCCGACCTGGAAGACTGTGATTTTGAGAACAGAAAGAGACGCCAACATCAGTACCACTACATGGATGAAGATGATAGTGTTCGCACTGGAGTACAGTGCCAGACGTCTTAAACAGCTTCAGGCTTGTTATGCATTCCACAATGACAACTTATCATCTCTGAAGCAAAGCACCTTCGAAAATAATCGTTGCACATTTTGTTTCCTTTATTATTTTTTCGTCATAACTGATTTTTTTTCCTTTACCTTAAAGCCAACCTGACTCAACAAACTGTTGTGAGTAATTAAAGCAACTTTAAAAATAAACTAGGTTGGAGGACGAGTCCGAGTTCTTCTCGTCTCTTTAATTATTTTTCCAAACACTGTGAAAGAGGAAACCTGAGAAAATACTAAACTGCCAACTCTTAATGCAGTTACTGGTGGTCAATATTAACCTGAAGACAACGTATTTATGGTCTTCATTATTAAAATGATTCACTGGGGACACATTCTGTCCATTTTTTTCATGCGAAGACAACGTCATACCCTTTCAAAAGAGTTGATTCTATAGGGTCATTTTAACGTTGTGACGGGATGAAGCTCATGATTCTGAAAGGAAAATGTAAGGATTTTATGTTGCTAATCTGTAGATTTCTCAAACTAATATTTAAGTTTTAATAAGGATATTTTTTAAAGTTTTGAGCCACCCATACATGTCTGTTGAAGATCATTTACGAGAAAAAATTTCAACTTTATGTATGCTTGGTGGTATGTTTTTGGTTTTTGTTTATGTTTGCCAAGTCACATATGAGTACATGTGAAAATATAATGAACTGCTGTTTAATCGGTAAGAAATCAATGTTCACTTACTTTTCTGGTCCTGTCCTAAAAGGAACTCTGACATTTAAAGAAAAACTATTAATGTGTATAAGATTTTGCCTTTCTGCTCAATTCTTAGAGTGACTTACTTCATTCTGTACCTTCAAGTTTCGGTACCACAGTGAAATCAAAGTCAGCACACCTGATACCTCACTGAAGTGTCTGCCTGTTCAAAAGCCTTACAAAATCTTGACTCTGCGTGTTTTGGACATTGTAAACCAACCATCTTTACTAACACCTGATTTCTTCTGATTGTCCAGTGCAAAATGTCAAGTGTTGTCCAGTACAATGATGTGCATGTCAGGGCCAATGTTTTTTTGTTTTTTTTTTAGTTTTTGTTTTCCTAATTAAACCCCCTTTTGATGTTGTTTTTAATTGTTGTTGTGAAATTTTTTATCTCTCAAATCTGAGTGTATATATACATATATGTATATATGTATGTATATGTATCTGTATATACAGTATGTATATATATACACATATACAACATATGTATATACAATATATATATGTATTACCTCTTATCCATGTGCCCAGTCTACAACTGTGAGTTGAGATATTTGATTATTTATTTTATTTTCCTGTTTAAATTAGAGTTTTTATGCTTTGAGTTGTATTTTTGTAGACCATTTCTAAATACTAGGGATATCCGATTCCAATTTTTGATTCCGATAATGACCAATACCAATATAGGCCTGGTAATATTTTTTATATATATATATATATATACAAACAACTGTATGAGTTGCTGGCACCAGCATTCTGTATACAATCCCCTGTTATTAAAATAGTTTAATTCAATGAGTTGCACTGCTGCCATCTAGTAACTTTTATATACTGCCGTTTATCCCCAAAACTATGCATTGCATTATCGTGTTTTCATTATCAGGAAAAACAGATAACGATTCCTACAAGTATTACATAATTATGCTAATATTGGGCCGATAATATCGGGTCGGCAGATATCTGACATCCCTACTAAATCTAGTTGCTTTCCCAGGACACATTCCATCATGTTTTATTTTCAATAAAAACTTAATTCATTCTAAATACAGAAAAATGATACATAACAAGAGTTTATAATGACAAATTGTTATTTAATGATAATCCTGTAGTAGTACCACACAAAGTATATAGAAAACATGTTATTTTACATCAACGGCAGACAGTAGGAGGAACAGTGACAGGTCGAGGCACTGGGTCTGTGTCGTGCAGACGAACATGTTCTACTACCGCACAGGAATCATTACTACAGTCAGTGAACGCACATGAAATACAACATACGCACATAATACTGGATTTGTCACAAAAGCTTATTTTGGGTTCACCATTATTTGACATGCACATGTTAGAAGGATCCAGAGAGTAGAGCTGCATTTCCGTAGTGTTGTCGAGGTAGCATGCAAACAAAATACACCTGAATCATTGAATCAAAGTTACAAAAGTAGTTTTAAAAACCTCGTGCTGCACTAACAAATATTTTCCTGAAGATGTTTGTTTATGCCCAAACACAAAGCAATTTGTAAATGAAATGAAAATAGGTTTTCAAACTGCTCAGAAGAGGATGGGTCCACCGGGAAGACTGACTGGGAGCGAAGGACCTGAAGTCATGAAAAAGTTAATCCAAAACGAATGGCTGTCCATCACTTCGTGATTCACTATATTTCTAAACAGCACTTCCTTGCACTGCTGTGCTTGTGTTATAGAAAAATAATGAATCCATAAGTCAACAATGTAATAATATTTCTAATAAGATCAAATGACAAATGTCACATCAGCTTATTAACTGTAAAATGTATTTTTCAATGTTCAAACATTTGTCATTATATTAATTTAAGGGCTGTCATACTTACATTTTAAATCCATGTATTAATCAGGATTACCATATTTTACCATATATAAGTCGCACTTTTTTCATCCTTTGGCTGGGTTTGCCACTTATGCTCAGGTGCAACTTAAATTAAAATAGATACATGTTTGTTACACTCTAGGCTTGTGTACCAGTATCTGCTACTCCTTTTACATGTTAGTTATTTTCACATTGACAGCCGCTAGAGGGCACTCTAGCTGGCTGGTGTACCGTTTTTTTTTTTTCTTTATGCATTTTTTGGCTGGGCCAACTTACACTCCAGAGTGACTTGTAGTCCAGAAAATATGGTAATCACTATTGACCATGATTTACCTGAAGTTCAGTCGACCTGCAGTTGAAGCCTCCACAAGCTCATTCAGGGCAGTGGGATGGTATTTTAAGCTTGAGGTGCATTGGCGAAATGGAAACTTTTACCTGCAGTCTGTATAAATAACAACGTGTGCACCTACAGTGTGTTAGAGCAACAATAAATGAATGGACAGTGGAATTATTGGACATGGGGCTCCTCCTTCTACCCATACTTAAAATGCATTAGTTTGTTTCACAAATGAAAATTTGGATTAATGGATTAATTTTAACAGCCCTTATTAATATATTAATTCTTTACTAATAGATTCAGAGTTGTATACATCAGGGGTTAATTCCGTTTGGATTTGGTTTTAAATCCCAGTTACTTCAAAAGTTTGAGTACGGTTGTCAAACACCTCCTCCCCAATGCATCTTCTAAGGTTTCCATAGCCTCAGCAGGCCGTCCTCGCTGTAGGTGGCGATCAGGTTGTCATGCGGATGGTGAGTGATGCCAATGACATCTTTCTCATGAACCTGTAGATGCGACAATATTTCTCAAATGAAAAACAAGCATTTCCTTATAACCTCACGCCAAAGACAGAGAAGAGTCAAAGACAACACCTAAATCTTGGGCATCTGTCTGCAAGCCTAAAAACAGCAGATATGTCTGGGTTTCTAGGCTTGTCTATAGGTATAAAAAGTTTTTTTAAAAAGGCCCAATGCATCATGGGATAACCACCCCCACACTCACTGCTAATGAGTGTACAGCAGCAGCAGAACTTACGATCAGCTTTTTCTCCAGCTTCCCTGATTCGTAGTTAAAGCAGTACAGGACATAGTCTTCTCCCACACAGTAAATCCACTCCCCATGAGGTGACAGGGTGCAGCACACAAAGTCTGTGGCTGATTCATCTGCACTGAATGTTTTTACAGTCTGAAAGGAAAGAGCAGGTTTTCAACTTTTATACATGTGCCTGAAGAGGGAAATGGTAAGATGTTCTGACATGAACAAAATGTGACTAAGTTGTCTTGGCTCTGGAAGGTGAAAAGGACTTCAGTGACTCGTCTTCTTTCATACTCAAAGAGTAAGATATATATAGTATTGCACTGTGTATTTGCCTGAACTAAGGGGCATGACTTCAGATTCTTGTAGTTTGATAGCAGTTATCATGCCTGCCTTATGCATCTGCCTTACATACAGAAGGTCCTGGGTTTGAGTCCCAGAGGAACCACATACCTAATGGTAGATTCAAGCTGTGAATTACCCTAACTGTGGGACAAACAAGGGACTAATATATTTAATATATATATTTTTGTAATGTAATGAAAGTTGAGTCAACGTCAACTAGCCACTGACGATGTTATTGAATTTTGTCTCAATTATATAACATTTTAAGCTGCACTCACCTGACCGTCCATGCTCATGATAACCACATGGCTGGAGTGGTTACAAATCACAAGCTGTTCTGGGTTCTGTGGGAGAGGAATTACACTGTAGACTGGGACCACCAATGTCCCTGACAGTGACTGGAAAGTGTGGATGGACTCACAAGTCTTTGTGTTCCAGATCTGGAAAATACAAATAGCAAAGTGGTTCTCAGCTACATCAGATTTACATCATGCTGAACAAAACCAAGTCATTAAAATAGCTCATTCAACCTTAATAGTGCCATCAGACGAGGCACTGATGATGTGAAATCCGTCTTGAGTAAAAGAAGCGTCATTTACAAACGACGAATGGCCGTTTAACTCCTTTATTGTCTTTCCAGACCTCAGTTCGTGGATTCTGTGAAAAACAAGCGTCTGTTTGACATGAATGTGGATAAATGTTCTAACATCATCAAAGCAAACACTTGAATCATCCTAAGGAGATGTTTTCACTGTGGAACAGAAGAAAAAGTGTGACTGAACTGCTGTTATTATTTTTAGCTCCTGCGGCGTGAGATTAACCTAACCATGACAAATGTCTGGTTCTAACTGGATCAAGGAGTCTCTGGTAGGAAGATCAGCTGCCAGCTGAAGGATTTGGAAATGATACAAGATGTTGCAGTCTCCTGCTTGAGCACCTACACCACACATGTGCTTCCATCACAGCTAAGAGTCTCAGCCCACACCCTGCAGGGTGCAGGCAAAAATAGAAACTCAACTCCTTGGTTATATGTGGAGGCAAAATAAAAGAACTGAGAACTTTTCTCGAAACTGTGTTCTGATGTGAATCATGTCACTACTACTGTAAAAGTTAGATTTTAGGGCTCATTGTGAAGAAAGTGTGAAGAAATTGTACGTATGTGTGTGTATATGTATTGCTCATGTACTGAAAGACAACATTGAATTTTTCACCCATTCACCCGTTCATTTGTTCACGTTTGTAAATCTTGTCTGGACCTAATAAAATCTATCGACCACTTCCTCAGGAAATCTGTTGTTGTGACACATCAGAAACAATCCAAATGGTTGTAGTTATAAATAAATGTACGCAACAATAATCTTTTTCATGAAGTTATACATTTGGTAGATGGTATGTCCCACCTGATGGTGTGGTCAAAAGAAGCACTGAGAATGTGGTTGTTGTCTTTGGAGAAGCTCAGACAGGTCACACCTTTGCTGTGAGCGTGCTCAAACCTGCGCAGACACAAGCCACTCTGGATCTTCCAGACCTTCATCCCAACACACACAAACACACACTTTAAACTGATGGAATCCAATAATCAAGATGTCTTGGTTATGACTTCAATGGCACTGGGAAATTTTCTTTTTAGTACTTTAATTCTTTTTGTAAAACAATTAACGAACATTATGAAGAGTAAAAGTCCCAGCGTACCAACCTTTATTTTCCCGTTTTGAGCTCCTGTTGCCAGTAGATCAACATCCTGACTGAAGCACATACAGAGAACAGCATCATCCATCATCATGAAGCTCTCCTCTGCCTGGTACTTTAAATCCTAACTCATTACAGAGTTAGGGTCATGCACACAAACACACACACAACAACCGAATGAACAACAAATGAAATATGTATCAGGACCTCTGCCAAAAGTCTTCATTATCCTCCAGATGTACAGAAGTACTTCATAATGTTATGACATTATTAAGATACCTTACTAAGTTTTCCAGAACTGATGTTCCAGATCTCAATGAAGCCGTCCACTGATCCAGTGATTAAGTACCGACCATCAGGGGAGAAGCGAGCGCATTCTACATGTGATCGCCGTCCAAACTGCAGACATAAAATGCCATGAATCATCAGCTGTTGAACAACTTCCAAATAATATGATCTTCTATTTTTTCCTGGGTGTAAAAAACACAGCAGAGAGGCAGAAATTACAAGTTTATAAAGAGCTTGGCCTGACTGCCCACACTAATGACCTTGCACAGAAAAGCAAAGACAAGCTGCTCAGACGATTCTATCTGCAATGTAAGAGATGGGAGAGCAGCCAGGCCCTGGGGAGTGTTTCCTTCATCTGTTTGGGTTCGTTGCACATTTTCAGTGCTTGGGGATCAGGAGGAAGACAAAACAAAGTCTACGTGTTTATCATCAGCAGGGACACAACTATTGTGCTGTCATGGCAGAACCTGAAGTTGTTTTTCAACAGAACCAATGATATCAACCTTGATGTGGCGGTAAAGCTGTGTTGGATATCTCTCCTTCTCCGGATGGCTCTCCTTGTGGCCTGCTGTGTCCATGTTTGTGTCAGGAGACAGGTGACCTGGACTATGCAGCTTCATAGACTGTGGGCAAGAATGAAGAAGCAGATCACAAAACAGGAAACAAAAAACAGGACAAACGTGTGTTGAATTTTTCAGGACAAGGTATGTGGTTCCTCTGGGGCTCAAACCCAGAACCTACAAACCAAGGCAGGTGTAAAAACAGCTACACTCAATCACCTCGCTCTCAGCCCACTGAGTCAAAGTAAGACTTTTAACTCACTGCCTCAGTCTATTTATGCTGCATTTAGGCCCAGGTCATATCCCTGTCTTTCTGAAGCTCAGAATACGGTTGTTTATTCTGGGCTACCGTCAAAATCGCACTTTTAAATCCTTGATCCATTGATCAATAATAAGGCAAATTCATTCATCTTCTACCACATGATCCTTTTCATGGTCACCAAAGGGCTACAAGCCAATCACTGGACAGTTCACCAGTCCATTGCAAAGACACATACGGAGACAAACTGCCATTAAGGATCTATTGTCTTGTGAATTTTCATAGTTATTGATTTTCTAATGAGTTTTTAGGCCTGATTATTTGTTTATTATTTATTTACTTTGTTTGAGCTGGATGAAATATAACATGTAGTAAACTTACACTGACTTGTTCCAGAAGTCCAATGAGGCGAGAAGGAGGGACCACACTGACCTCCCTCACCAAGGCCTGCGCTATCGCCATACGCCGCTTCTCCTTGCTACTGCCATTCGGATATGCCTTCATTGTGAAAAATAAGAAACAACTTTTTATTTTGTAGTTTATGGAGCTCTGGAAAGTTAGGAACAGTCAGTTCCCTACCTCACGAGGGTCAAAGTAGGAGCAAATTAGTAGGTTCTCCAAGTGCATGTACCTCTCTGGCTGCGTCTGCTTTAACATGATCATCGGATCAGTTCGTCTGAGGAGCGAGCGAGCTGCACCCACCTCTCTCATCTCGATTAGTTCCATAACAACCTTTGGAAGAGATCAGTACAAAACATCAACACTCAAACGCTGCCACCCCAGGAACAAACCAAGCCAGGAAATATTCTACCTCATCAGTGTAGTACTCACCTGCTCATAAAGGTCAATTAGTATGTTGTCGGGAAGCTTGAGGGACTCGATGGCCAACAGGACGCAGTCCCAGTGGCCACTGTTTATATCTGCAATAAAACTGTCGATGCTCTCCACTGTGTTGAGAGAGACAGTGGTTTCCTCCTGTAAAGTGTTGAGTGTTCTGTAGAGGTTGTTCTCCTTTAGATACTGCATTATCAAGCGGATCACACTGCGGGGACAAGACGCACAACTATTACAACAACAAGTTAACACATACAGTCGGCCTATACAACAACTTTTCTCCTGGTGTTTTGCACAGTGTTACTCATAAAGGGTGACATAAACGGAATATATAACTAAGTCGTTTTTATTAAAATTATTTTGCGTGAGCCAAAAAGTTTGCCCACCCCTGGTCTGGAGCCAAACCCACAACACAGAGATTCAACTACAGTTTTTATTAGGGTCTAAAGAGGCCAAGAGGCTCTTGCCAACAGTTCAGGTTGTAACATAAAAACCAGACCTGCCACATGGTGATAAAAAGATAACAAGGACATTTAATGTTAAAGTGTTGTTGCTCTAACTTTATTCCTATATATGTACAATGGCACCTTTGTCATTGCACATACACAAACTATATATATCCTCACAACGAATGTGTCATCTGCATTTATCCTAAGGAGTGTTTTATTGTGGGTAGGTCGCAGTAACGACCACATGCAGTAATACCGTTACTCCTCCTTCGTTTTTTTTTTTACCTCAACACGATTTCACGATGAGCTAATATTTCACGGCAGTTAAACAAAAAGGCAAACAACCTTACGACACTTGACATGGGGATCGGGTGAGATCAACAGGCACATGGATTAGGAAAACACTGCATATACAGTAGTGGCAGCAAAAACCAGGGAAACGCCCCCTCCTCTCTCTGTTCTTCACTGTAGTGAAGAAGCTGAGGTTAAATGGCTGAAAGCAAACGTTTGAACGTCCTTGCCAACAAACATTGACCAAAGTGATCTGTTTAAAATGATCAGAAACGTCAAAGACGTCATAGGAAACGACAGCTGTGTTCATGTTCAATATGTAAACACTGCCTTGCCCGAACACGTTTTGACAAAACGAGGACAGTCGTCCTTAATAAAATAAAACACAAAGTAAGATAAATCAAGGATAGGAACCTTGTAAGTTAGAAAATCTTAAATGAACAAACCATAGGACAGCTCCTAACATTTGTTAAAAATAAAACTCAGATCGTATCCATGTCCAGCGATGTTTCAATAACTGTCCATCTTTGAACTCTTACTTGTTATTTACATTTATTTTTTACAAACCCCTAGGGGTGAAGCACTTACTCTGCAGGCTCCATCTCCACAGCCATGTTGCGTCTGTCTCCTGCTGCTGCAGCACTGGACTGACTGTGGAGGTGGAGGCGACCGTGCGCTCGCCAGAGTCACGTGAACGCCGTGCGCTCAGGACCACCCACTACACGTGTTTCTCCTGTGTGTCTGTGATTCTTTTCACTGCCTCACAGTGCACTCGTACACATCACCTGCCAATGGCGGCATCACACTCTTTGTAAATCTCTGCGCCACCACTGTTAAGTTTACCCACGAACAAAGCAACATCTTTCGGGGACGACGGGTGCAGGTGCTCGAATACGTGCTCAACACAGCTGCTGCTGCATCAGCACCATGGACAGAGCCTCGTGGCTCAGAGCGTGCGCTCCTTGTGTACTGAAGACAAACAAACGTCCTCTGCTCATCACTATGCAGACACACAGCTGTGTGCCTTCTGTGGCGGGTGTCGGTTCGCCAACTTAATCTCTGGTCTCTGCATACACCAGCAATTACTGTCTTTTCCGGTAATTGCACATCTTGCGGTGTTGTGTAACCTTAATTCACACGGAGACTGTGGCACTGTTGGACTGAAATAGCAATGGGTTGTGAATGTTAATCAGTGACTTTCACTTTAGAAGGAATGTGATCTTATCTTTCTTCAGCTACAGATAAAAGAGACGCTGTTGAATGTTGGAGAACAAAGGATCAAATGCAACATACAGCCCGTGATATATACTAAATTTACAGGGTTCATTGACAGCTGAGGTGTGATATTTATCTGTGTTGAAGGCACACGTATAGAAATGTAGAAATTATTTATTTTTGATTTTGTATTGGCAACAATTCAATATAAAACAATGTTACTGATGTCTTACATTCGTACAGTCTATAAATTGTTTTCATTTCAAGTGTCAAGTTCTATTTGTGTTCCTATTTTTATAAATGGTAAGGTATTAATCTACCACATGCAACCTTAACATTAGATCCTGGACAGTTTACTTGATGTCCTCAGTTTTTATGGTGTGTTTTTGAGAATGAAAGTGAGGATTAATTACTTAAGGGGAGGGAGGGTTTGTATGTACTAAAGAAATCAGGTGTACTGTAGTTTGACTGCTCTTCAGTTGTAATGACTTGAACTGAACCGGATTTGTTGTAATAGACAACACTGTACATGACCTCCTTCTCTGATGAACACTCTGATATATTTTGTTCATAAAAGGCGCAGCTGGGATGGACCAGTAGAAAAGCCGAAATGGTCTTTAATGGATCTTTGTGCACTCACATTAATAGTGTATTTATGAGCTAATTTAATTTGTAACAAGATTCAAACTGTGTAAACTTTATCTTCTGCCTTACCAGTGTTCTATATCTAGAAAGTTAATACGGTTTTCTTATTAAATTGATTCTATTTGTCAGGCAAAATTTGATAAAATATTCTTTATTTTACAGAGAGTAATTGTTTGACTCAAACCGTTTTGACTTGATTGTTTAACATTAACCAGCTCTTGGTCATACCCCCCTTCCTTAATTACTCTTTGCAATTGTTGTTTAGAGAAGGATTTGTATCAGTTCGCTAAGGGAGAGATAGCGCTGGAAAGGATATTTTACAGGTCAGGTTGGTTAAGGATATGGATAACTATGATGGATTACATTTTTTAAACCAATTTAGAATAGAATAGGATAGTCTTTATTGTCATTATGTTTGGTTAGAACATAACGAAATTGGGGAAGGCTTCTTTGCAGGTGTATCACAGATACATACAGTACATACAACATGGCTACTTATAAGCAATCAGCCCTACAATGACAACAGCAAGAAATTTACTTTAAATATAAATAATAATATAGATTTCAAAAGTGTGTTGTTAGGGGACGTGTTAGTGCGTGTGTGAGTTAAGTCTGATGATGGCTTGGGGAAAGAAGCTGTCTCTCAGGTTCGGGTTTTGATGGACCTGTAACGCCTGCCTGATGGCAACATCATTTAATTTATCATTTTAATTTAATACCTTGTTCGGTGGTAATTGTGTTATTTAATAATAAAGCTATATGCCCTAATACATGCCGGGAAGAATAAGGTGAAATGAAGAGATGGAGGTTGAAACTTCACAAAATGTTCATGATCTTCAACAGCATAAATAAGTTTCTTTTTGTAGTAAATGTGCCAAGTGTTGGGGCGTGGTTTGATTGCTAACGTCATACGTTGCGTGTCCTAGTGCAAGCATGCCATTGGCTGAGCCGTTGTGTCGGGGGTTCCCTGCCCCAGATTGCAGGGGTAAAACAATAAATCGCTCCTATCACTTTAAATCTTCAATCTCTGGTACAGCAGAGATCATAAATTTGTCAGTTACCGGAACGGGGCAAATATTGCGATATTTCGCCCGAGACTACTAGTATTTCAGAATAGTTTGAGGTTGGCGATTTGTCGTTATTTATTTAGATTTATTCTGTCTACACAGATAGGTCTTTCCAAAGGTAAGTTAGCTAAATTAGCTATGATTGCTTGACAGCTAGGCTAACAAGTCAGCTAATGGCAATGCATTGTCTGTTTCTGCCACAGCCGCGCAAAAGAAAGCAGTATTTCAGTGTTTACAGAAAATCGGTGTGGTACACGAAGCCCATTTCGGCGTTGTGTATCATGTTAGTTGTATTCGAAATCTCCTGTTTTCTTATAGTTTGTACAGCTTTGAACTTGTCCCATTGACAATAGGACGGGAAGAAGTAGACATTCAATTAATGTTCAATCGAGCTTAGGTCTGTCAGTGTTTTGAGACAACATAATGCATTTGATTTAAAATATCCATAAGCGTACAAAAACTGAGCGTGTGGGTGTATTTCTGTTCTGTATAGGAGATGTGGTACAATTGCAATCACCTGAGTTAGCGCTAATGTTATTAATGTTGCCACTGTAAGACACCCTTGGTTTGTTTAAATTTTCATTTTTGTCAAAAGGTATATTCTGCGTTGCCCGAAAACATCAACGTCATTTTTATAATTAATTCGCCTCCATTTCCTACAAAAACTGGAGACCGGCGAGTGGAAAAACGACGACGCCACAAGTTAGCCGCAGCTAATCTTAGCCGGCTACCTAGCTTTTTAATAATAAGGCCAGCGATTTAGCATTTACTTACATATTCTCACTTTTATTGTTTGGAAAGAGTTGATTATGGGTTAAAGATGAACACAAAATAATTTCTTTATACACGAATATTATATCAATTATACTTATTTCTTATTAAGGACCTTATAGAGTTGCGACAAATGAAGACGGCTAATTGTTGTTAGCATCGACATGTATGCCTTTTTAAATAGGCCACCTATTTACGTAGCGCTGCTCAGATTGTGTGTCGCCTAAATGTTTATATTACACAACGTTGAGTTTGGATTTCAGTTCGTTTTTTTATTGCCTAACGTGGAGTTTACACCGGTTGTACATCGCGATATATAACCTCGTTTCTCCTTTGTCTCAGTGGATGGACATGATGGCGCAGTTGAAAGTCCTGTTAGCTTTCGAGCTAACACTTAGTTGTCATGCCTCCGCTGCAGGACTGATGTGGGTCAGTTAAATCGAGGGCCCCGTGAGACAAAGAAAGTGAAACATCTTGTTTTCACATCCTGTACCTGGTTATTTATCGGTGTTTGGTGAAAATCAAACTGCTAAAGCTCGTGTGTATAGACTTGATTTCCTCATATCGTTTCCTAACATCGGTTTCCATGCTTGATTTTAACTTTCGAATGCCTTTGTTCATGTAAACGCCAATACATCGTGTGAACACAAATCATGTTGTTAAATACAGATATGCAATATATATAGTTGTTTTTGACTAAGAATGCTTATTTCGTTATTTTGTCTTTAGATGTTTCAGTATATTGTTAGGAATGTAGACTTAAAAAGGGGGTATTTGTTAATCTTTGTTCTCCTTAAAGTTTGTGCTTGTAAAACAACTTCATGATCATTTTCTTTTCCAGCACTTAATATTGTTTACCAAAGAAATGGTGATGGAGAAGCCAAGTCCCCTGCTTGTAGGGCGGGAGTTTGTGAGGCAGTATTACACACTCTTAAACAAAGCACCAGATTTTCTGCACAGGTAAAAACTGATGTGTGATGGTTAATCGTGGTTATTTAGCTGTGATGTTACAATAAAACTAAAACTGCCCTGTTGTTGCACTGTTAGGTTTTATGGAAGGAACTCTTCCTATGTTCATGGAGGACTTGACCCCAGTGGAAAGCTGGCAGAAGCAGTGTATGGGCAAGCGGTAGGTTGTTTTTTTTTTCTCCCATTTGAACTGGAATAACCAAAAATTGGTTTGTATTGACACACTGAAACTCACCTATTTGTGGTTTGATAGGAAATCCACAAGAAGGTCATGTCCCTGCAGTTTAGTGAGTGCCACACTAAAATCAGACATGTGGATGCTCACACCACGCTCAGTGATGGTGTAGTGGTCCAAGTCCTTGGGGAACTGTCAAACAGTGGCCAGCCTATGAGGAAGTTCATGCAAACCTTTGTGCTTGCACCAGAGGTAAGATCTCATTCTATTAGTGACAGTATTGAGCATTGAGAGTTTTCGACTCAAATCAGCATATAATATTTTCAGGCCCATAACTTTTCAAACTTAGTTTTTTGTTAGAGATCTTAAGAAAATAGAATAACTCAATGTAATGTTTTAAAGTGAGATGTAAAGTTTGTCTTTATTTTATAGCCTAATTAATTGTATAATTTGACATGCTTGTTGGCTTTGTGCCTTTTAGGGATCAGTGGCAAATAAATTCTACGTCCACAATGACATATTTCGTTATGAAGATGAGGTGTTTGGAGATTCTGATGCAGAGCTTGATGAAGGTATGAGCATGAAAAATACTGACTATGGACAAGAACTATTTTTGCAAGGATTTCCATTCATGTCTGTTGTTTATATGTACTATGAATGACAATGTTAATATATATTATGGGGGTTTTTTTTGTTGTTTTTTTTTTTTCAATCCAGAGTCAGAGGAAGAAGTGGAAGAGGAGCCAGAGGAGAGGCAGCCATCTCCTGAGCCACTTCAGGAAAGCCCAACCAGCACCACCTATTACGAACCCCATCCAGTCAGGTATTTGAAAACTGATCACATGCTTAAATAATTTATTTTCCACAAATGGTGAGTTCTGTTAAAAATAGTAAACATGCATAAGTAACAACATGTTTTTGTCCTTAACAGTAATGGAGTAGAAGAGCCCATGGAGGAGCCAGCTCCAGAACCAGAGCCTGAGCCTGAACCAGAGCCCAAAATAGAAGAGATAAAGCCTGAAGTGGATGACAAGGTTCTAGAAGAATTGGAGGAAAAGGCACCTTCACCTGTTCCTGTGGAGTCCCCACCAAATACACAGGAGACTCCCAAGGTGAGGATGATTATTATACTATGTTATTATATAAATATACTAATATTTATATTCTAGATTCGGTTTAAGTTTCTTTAAGTTTATTTTACATGTTTGTGTATTGAACTGTTATTGTGCAAAAGTCATTTAGAATTTGTCATTGTAATGTTGTTTTGCTCTGCAGGCTTTTTCTTGGGCCTTGGTGACCAGTAAAAACTTGCCTCCTGCTGGAACAGTCACCACCTCTGGAATCCCACCCCATGTAGTAAAAGTGTCACAGGTAACAAATGAATTGAAATGAAAATTAATTGATATTTTGTTTTGCAAGTTATGGCAAGTATGTGCACTGTCAAACAAGAACAAACACTGGAACAAGATTAATGATACATTTATAGGAATTATTGAAAACTATGAAATCTTAAACATATCATTGATGATTGTTTTGTGTGTTTGTGTCTATCTTTTGTTTTTTACGCAGCCCAAAGTGGAACCCAAGTCAGAGACACAGGCAGCACCAATGAGGCCCAGGGACCAGCGAACACGGGACAGGCCTGCTTTCACTCCCAGGGGACCTAGACCGGGTAATTTACCCACAAGTTTTAACTACTTACTTATGTACTTCAGGATTTATTTATTTCTGTGCTGTGTGCTCTTTTTATAACCTGATGCCTTTACTTGGTTTGTGTCTATTAGATGGTGTTTCATCTTCAGAGTCACAAATAGGAAAGCCTCACCTGAGTTTTGTTAACAAAGGTAAATACTCTACATCTCATAGTTTCACCTTTGTCTCTTTTAAGTTGTCCAGGTGTCTTGATGCCTGGTCATTTCATTGTAAACTCAGCTCACTCACGTTGTTTATAAGGAGTAAATTCTGATTAACGTTTGTCCTTTTTCTTGCAGGTGGCAGAGGAGACTCTGAATCTGGTGACATGGACAGTAGGCGAATTGTCCGGTACCCAGACAGCCACCAGCTGTTTGTCGGGAACCTCCCTCATGACATTGATGAGAGTGAGCTGAAAGAGTTTTTCATGAGTAAGTTAACCAGGTTCTCCTAAAGTCACATAACTGTGGACTTCTGTATCATATATTTACTGATTGTCTTTTTTATTGCAGCATATGGAAATGTGGTGGAGCTGCGAATCAACACAAAGGGAGTTGGTGGAAAACTACCCAACTTTGGATTTGTGGTTTTTGACGACTCTGATCCGGTGCAAAGAATCTTGGGGGCCAAGGTAGAAGGGGCACGTATTGATTTTTTTTCATTACCCCACTTTCATTCATTTGGTGGTGGTTTGGTGGCACCTTTACAGGAATTTGGCTTTTCCTTAAAACTTCCAATGTTTTTTCAGACACTTTGTATAAAAACATTTTTGAAACCTGTATTGACCAATAATGTAAATGATAAACAGTACATCACTAATCAACATCACACTATTGTTTTTCACTTGGCTTTTTTTCTAATTACTTTTAAATTTGGATTGTATTTCTTGGGTTGAAGAAGAAACCAATGAATGACATGGGTGAATGAATCTGAAATGTTTGAGGATAATTCTCTGTTGCTCTATAGTCAACTTGGGTTTTCTCAATGCAGCCCATCATGTTCCGAGGCGAAGTGCGCCTGAATGTGGAGGAGAAGAAGACAAGGGCGGTGCGTGAACGAGAAACCCGTGGAGGAGGAGACGACCGTCGGGACATGAGGCGCAATGACCGGGGTCCTGGAGGATCGAGAGGCATTGTGGGAGGTGGCATGATGCGTGAGCGTGATGGTAGGGGACCACCCCCTCGAGGTGGTATGGCCCCAAAACCTGGCATGGGCTCTGGGAGGGGCTCTGGCGGGCAGGGAGAGGGTCGATTCTCGTCTCAACGTCGTTGAAGAGACAACCACCTGCAGTTTGGAGAAAATACCTTGCTTTTCATCTTCAGCCCTACACGTAAAGAAAAAAAAAAATCTTGTATTAACGTTTATAGTTGTTTTGTTTTGTTTTTTTTTGTTTTGTTTTCTTGGTTTCCTTTTTGCTTTGGAATGTGACACAGCCTGTCAACCATTTGTGGAATAGACCAAACAAAAAATGCAAACAAAGATATGGCTTATTAGTTGTGAGACGAGCATCCTTTCTGGTTCCTCAAGAATACACAAACTTTAATTTCTAAAATCACGATTGAAGGAAAACCAACAAGGACCAATGCCACAATAGGAGGGACTGATAAGACTTTTGACTACAGTAAAACAGCCCATCATTTGAAAAAGATTTATATGCCTTGATTAAACTGGGGCGCTGCTTCACAAAAACCCCTCAATTGCACATTTTGTATGATAGAGTTTCTGCCCTGTACTGCTGGGAAAGAGGGAGATGCATCATTTGTGCAGTTCCAGAGGAAAAGGCTGCCTTCTACCCTTTTCCTTTCGAGAGACCACTGCTTCAAAATTGCATAATGCACTCTATCAATATGCACTAATGGGTACTTCATGTTATGTTGACATCCATGCTTGGAACACAGCTGGAGAGACCTCTTTTGTCTCAAAGCGATACGACATACCGGGGCAGGCCTCGCTCACAGCCATCTGCTGTGACCAATGTACTCATCAGTTTTTGATCCAAATCTACGTTTCAATTACTGCTGGATGGACAAGATGACAAGCAAAATCTGCATTAATACTTTTCCTTCTTTATGAATTAAAAAAAAACACACATGGATTTTCACCAAAAGTGTGGGTTTGGGGATAAAGGATTAAACCTGAAACAAAGTTGAACAACAGAAGAGTGGTGATGAAGGAGGCTCACTCTCTTTTTCTTTGGATTCCAAGTTTTGTTTTTCTTCATGGCTTTCCCTGCCAGCTTGACACAATACTGGGATGAATGGCACCTGCCTCCTACTCCCCTACTGTCTTAAGTGCAGATAAAAAAATAAATGTGCAGCAAAGATCATAGTTTACTGTATGTTTGGTTTTGTGTATATATCTACAAGTACATTTTTTTTCTCATCTTGATAAGCATGATGGTGCCTTCTTTTTCACCTTTTCCAGTCTTGTAGAGCATAAAAAGGTTGGAACTAGGTTTCTCCTTGTAAGTGGAACTGCTCATTTTGAACTATTGTCTACTGAAGCAGATATATTAAAAAAGAAAACTTGCAGTATTCATAAGATATGTTGGATTTTTTTTCAGGAGCATTTTTCATTTTCCATACTGTTTTACTACCTAAGATGATCTGCTGTGAGTTTTATACATTTGTTTGTATTGTGTCTGTTGTGTGTGGGTTTTCTTTTTTTAAGTGACAATAGGTGCCTCGTCTTTAAAGATCTAAAATAGAGAGTGCATCTAAAGACCACTCTGACCCCCTAAAATTATGGTACATTAAAATGATAGTAACCAAGAAAAGCGTTTGGTCCGTGTTCAAATGGGTCTTTTAAACCATAATACACTGAGCAGAAAATGTATTTGGGTCCTGCTGAGTTGACAGTGAAGTGTCAGCTCGGCCACAGTTCTCACCACTTCAGAATGTTGTTTCCTTAGTGAGGGTTTTTACATGACCTGTGCAGGTGGACTGGTGGCAGCTCTAGTCAAGCAGGTGATTCTTTTTGCTACTTTTCTAGCCATTTATACAGTTGTATACACATGCTGATGATTGTGTTTATTTAATTCATTTTATTTTTGCATTAAGGCAAACCAACTCTGATTGTTTTATGAGCCCGCTAGTTATTATCCTTGACAGCTTTTGTTTTTTGTTTTACCACTCAGTGAGGGGGCCTTTAACTTTAGCTGGAAACATGTCGCATGATGTATTTTGTTATATTGCACTGAAATTAGAAATGAAATTTGATGTAGCATTTTCTGGCCAAATTATCAATGAGGTCTTCCTTTTCTGGTCATATTGCACTATTTCAAACTTTTCTGAGACAATCTCAGTTGAAACACAAGCCTTTCATAAATTGGTCTGGCAGTGGGACAATGTGCAACGTCTTCAAAATCACAAGTTGGATATATTTCAGGTTTTCGCTGCTCTTGATTTAATGCAACATAATGTTTAAACTTCAGCTGTAGATAGTACAGCCCCTGGGAGGTTAGACCACAGTTCGCTTCTCTATTCCAAATATTTGTCGGGTAATTACTTAAATTGGGCACTTTCTACTGCAGTCACTGAAGAGTAGTGAAGAAGAGCCATCATGCTTTCAGACCAATTGTTTGCATTTATATTATATACGTTGTGCCGGTTCCTCTGTATCACTCGATTTTTCAATGATTTTTGTTTCAGACAAAGTCTCCCAAAGCAAAATTTACAAGAAAAAAAAATTATAGTGGTTCAATTTATTTTTTAAAAAGTCCTCATTGTGAATCATTCCAGCCTTTTTTACAGGACTAGAAAAACCTTGGCTTTAGCAGTTGTGATAAACAGTTGGCTGCCATCTTGAAATTCCTGTGCTTACCCTTGTTGCTATTACAAACATTTGCAGGTGATGAATCTGATTTTTATTTCTTTTTTTGTTCATTTCCCCCTTTTCCATCTTGATTGTGTTGGACTTAACATACAATAAACTACTGATATCAGCACCTCAAATATATTTGTCCTACTTGTAGGTTTGCCATATGGAATTTTGCAAACAACTGTTTGCATTGTTTCATAAAACGTGACAAGATGTATAGAAACATTATTTTTAAATATGCTGTGTAACCTAACAACTTTGGAAGTCTGAAATGGTTCCAGGTAATCCCCCTTCTTATATGTTAGTGTGTGTAAAACTGAAATTGCTTTAGTTTACTGCAGTATATTAGAAGTTGCCTAACTCTGAAGGAGAAGGTGTATCTTTTCATCTCTTGCCCTTTGAATTCAGGACTCACAGTTGCAAATCACTTGTGATGATTCAATTCGCTGTTGATTTCCAATATCTAATTTAACTATCTTCATGAATTGACTATCAGTTGCAACCTTTGCCACTCAATGTATCTCCAAATTATTTAACATTTTGTGTGCTCTGTTAAGATACCTTTGACACTCCCAGTGAAATTATACGACTTCACCATAACCATCTATCTTAAAAGAATGTGAGGTATTTAAATGGACACAAAATATTTAATGTTATTATTACGTTTCCAAAAGAACTTCTAAACCAACTTGCCATCTGCTTATCAGTGGTGTTTGTTCCACACCTAAAACTTACAAGTAAGGCATTTGTTTCTTTTGTTATAAGCTTTTTGGAAAAACTTTGCCTGTCATAATTACTGACATATCAAGTGCATCATTTTAAATGGCTATTTACTGCACTACAAAAAAAGAACCTAGCTACTTCCCCAAACATCCTCTATCTAGGTCAAAACACTTCTGGAAGTTGTTTCCATTAGACAGTTCCTTCCGTGTAGAATTCTGGCGAATGTTTTTGGCACTAAGTCATAACCTGCATCTCTGTCCTTGTTGAGAGACTGGAATCAAATTCCTTTCAAATATTGTTTCACTGATGGGTGCAGCTCATTCATTTTACCAGGCCTCTAACATTTGATGTTTGCACTTACTTTAAATTGGTTCTTTTACATGGATTGAAAAACCTGATCGAATAGTTCAAGCAGTGATATAATGATAAAACTTGTAAAGACCGTTGGTAACGCCTATGAGATATGTCTTCACATGCTAATTAAGTTTTTAGGACATAATATGAACGATCAAATCTTACTTTCATTTGTAAAGTACTCTACTGTATATCTTTGGGCAATATTGTTTACACCAGGGGTAGGCAAAAAAGAAAATAAATAAATTAAAGAACCACTCAAATCTCTATACAATTACCCTTGATGTATCAGCCAATCTGTGTCCTGATGTCTATGATCTTCACTGGAAGCCATCTCTTCTTTGATGAATTATTGTTTTCTGTGGAAAAAAAGTCAATACCACAGAATGTGAGCTCAGAAACTCCAACAATTGTGTGAACCTAGTATTATCAGAATCTCATCCAAAAATGTAAAGCCCTACATTATAAAGACAATTGCGTCTCGTGAAAAATATGGGTTTATAATCAGTTTCTTGTTGGGTTTTTTTGTTGTTGTTTTTTTTTTTTGTAGAATGTCTTGGGTTAGATAGCAGAGTGACGTTCATAAGCATCAAAAGATAATTTGTAACAGAACAGCTAATGTGTAGCAGCACATTCTCTTTACCATGTGTTATTAAAGCTTTAAAAACAGTTTTACGACATAGTATCATGCCACATTGAGGATAAAAGAGATATCTAAAATAACAAGAATCAAGTAATACATTGAAGAGAATAAAGTTTCTGAGAGTGAAGTCATCATTTCAATTCAATTCAATCAATTAATCCTATAATAGTTTTTATTCCTTTGCAGGTAACAGGCAGACACATTTGTAATAAGAAGTTGATCAGTGCAGAAGGTAACTGTTATAAGGTAGTAAACTCGAGTACATGCACATGTAGGGTGAACATGCAAACTCAACCCTTTTCCAAAAGCAAACCAAACTCATTATATAAATAAAATGAACAAGTGGCTAATTTAAAATTGAATTAGTAATTGAATTTATTCATATGGTGTTGATGAAAGTAAAAATACAAACTTGGTTTTATTAGCATTTTTTTATTTACAGTGCACAGGTCATTTATTTTAAAACACAATTTTATACAGCATATACACTAATTGGTCCCTGCTCCATCAGTTTTGTAGTCCTTAGGCTGAAACCTCCTAGACTCCTATTCTAGACGATTCCACCTTCCTCAAGGTATTTTCTTGCCCTTTAAATAATATCTCTATGACGCCTGATCAGCCACGTATCGCCACGTTTTCGCGCAGGCGCAGTACAGCCGCGGTTGTGTTCCGGGCTCAGTGTACACAGTGTAAAGATATCGTAATTGTATGCAGCGTTCCTCGCGATTCACATTTTCCTTACACTAAACACAGAGAGGAGAGACTGGAGGGTTTCGAAAGAAGAAGAGTCGCTTTGAGTCGGGAAAGATGAATTTCTTCAGAGGAGTGATGGGCGGACAGGCAACCGGGCCGCAGCCGACAGGAGCCGAGACGGTAAGACAGCACACCGGCTAGCTGCTATTTCACCGTAGTGTATGCCTTAAATCAGGGCTAACTTTTACTAAATAAAATGCTTAGAATATTAATTCAAATATTTTTAGAACAATACCTCTACAATTTAAAACACATAGCCCTATTGGATTAACATCGATCTAGTTGTCGGGCTAAGAAGCTAGCATAGCACAGCTGTCAGTCCGCAGCAGTTTCTGTCAATGATCTTGTTCGTCCCTGTTCTCTACGTGGAGCTGCAATCAGCTGGAATGTGGGGGGCGTAAACGGTCAGTTTGTTAAACAGTTTGTTATCTGTTTACAGTAACAACATTAACGATATTAACCTTCCTCTTGTGTTAGCCTTCTGGTATCATACATGTTAACGGGTCGGTTTTGACCCATGTATTAAATCAGCTATAAAACACACTAAAAACAACAATCTTTCATCCAATTTGTTTCTCATCTCGTGTTTACCTTGTTTGGCTTCCTTATCCATGAACATGTTGGTTTTAATACTTTTGGTGTGGGCCTCTGGGGCTTTTTTTTTGTCTGTATACCCCTCGATTTCAATTTGGAAAGAAAATTGTAAAATGAACCTCAAGAGAATCATATTAATAAATAAAAGGTTGTTATTTTACCTGAGTGTTACTGAGGGGTTTAGAACACATATATAGCAAACTTGTCAGATCTCGCTCTGGTCTCTCTGTTGTCAAATCTGAGGACTCTTGATATCAATTCAAATGTCTGAAGTGACATTGTTGCCCGGAAAATATTTCTGCCTGTCGATGTGCCCCATAGAATATCAGTGGCCTTATTACAGGATCTGTACACTCCAGCATAAGAACACCAATTAAATCATCCAGGTATTCCTCATCAATGTCTTCCCACATGTCCCATGGACATTTTTGGAGGGTTTCTATTGGACAACTCATTTTCTGGTCAATGCACACTAATCAAAGAACAATTTTACTGTTGTCACAAAAATATTCCTTAAAAAGATTAATCAGTACATTTGCTTTCATACACTTTAAGAAGCTGAATCACCCAGGAGCACTTAATGTGACAAAAAATTACATATATGAATGCTCTCTTTGTCAGACTAGCAATGATCATAATTTTTTTTAAGCCTTTAGTTTAACAAATGTTTCATTTGTTTGTTTCCAACCCCTCTTCTTTAATCAGAGCCCATGGGTAGTTGATCTTTTGCACCATGCATTGAGGTTTATTGCTAGACTCTTATGCAGAAAACATGCACCATATATTCTGCTGTACAGGAAAATAATCAACCCTTCATCTTCTCTTCATAGATCCAAAAACTGTGTGACAGGGTGGCCTCGTCCACACTTTTAGAAGATCGTAGAGATGCCGTCCGGGCACTGAAATCCCTCTCTAAGGTAAATAAATAATAATAACAAATAGAATATCCTTGACTTTCTACATTTATTCCTGCAGTCAGGACAGTTGTTCTTCTTTTTGTCATAGAGTACATTATGTTTAGTATTTCTGAAAAACAAATTGAAAAATGATCTAAATTTCATATTTTATAATTTTACTAGTGTTCCCATAGTGTTTGTTGTTTGGTGGTGGTAAAGCTGATGTGGAAGTGAGTGTTCAATACTGGTAATGAAAATTCTATTTTAGAGCAAAAAACATTTTTTACATTAGTTTATTTTTATTATTTTTCAAATGCGGCTCATTAAACTGAACAGATCAGTAAAGACTGCTTTTTTTGCCTGTATTTATTTTAAATCTAGAAATATCGCATGGAAGTTGGAACACAGGCAATGGACCACTTGATTCACATACTCCAAACTGACAGGTATGCTGTTATTGATGTGTTTTTCTGTGGTGCGTTATGTATTTAAATCCGTTACAATAAAGGTCATTTTGAAGTATTTTTGAAGTGTGTGTTTTTGTTTTCTGTAATGAAACAGGTCGGACTCTGAAATCCTTGGCTATGCCTTAGACACGCTTTACTACATCATCTGCAATGATGAAGAAGAAGAACAAGGTATTCTCCTCACATGATAATATTCCCCCAGAACTGTTATTAATTGGTAACATATGTGATTACTTGTCTGTTATAAATCCCATTACCTGACTTAGCCGTGATTCCGTTAGCATGCAGACACCGGTATGCCCTTGTGTGTATCATGATCGTGAGGACTTCATGTAAAGATTCTCGTCTCTTTTTGTTTCTCTTCCATGTTTTAACACTACAGATGAATCAGAAGGTAAAACTCTTTGTCTGTGCATGATGCCACGTTTCCTTTTCTGGCGCTTCATCACGAGAATCTGCACATTCATTCTCACTTTTTTCTTACTTTAGTTGAACACGTGCTTGTTTGTTTTTTTTAAACCAAAACAAGAGAGAATGAACAGCTGTGTCTATACTTTTAGAAAACTAACTTCACTAAGTGGTGAAGTGATCGGCAGGAGTGTGGGTAGTAACACAAATGCTTTACTAATACCATCACATTTTCAGCTTTGTTCCAGTGTCACCGTTGTTGCTCACATTGTAAATGCACTTGTTTTTTTAGTTGGCTGAATTCTTTTGTTTGATACATCTTGTGGTGCAGACATTTACATTAAAATTCCCATTTTTACTGTGTTGTTGTTAACAGTAGAACATTACCCTCTTTTTAATAGATGACCACTTTTAACCAGTTGTTATGAGAGAACCAACTGACTCCCTCACCACAGAGAAGTCGTTTTGTTGCAGTTTTTTTTTTCAACTGATTTTAACTTCATTCACAGATGAAAATTCCCAGAAACAGGCAGATGATTTGGGCATCAAGTTTACAGAACAGTTCATTCAGGACCCTGAGCACGTGACCCTTCTGCTCAGTCTGTTGGAGGTACTGTAGTGTTTCTTAGATGATGAAGAGGCATTTGTTTGAAACACGTGTTCCTAAATTGTTGTCTAATGTATTCATGTGTTGTACTTTTTTTTTTAGGAGTTTGATTTTCATGTGCGTTGGCCAGGAGTAAAGCTGCTGACTGCCCTCCTGAAGAATCAAGGTGTCCAAGTTCAGGGTGTCATTTTAGTCAGCCCCATGGGTGAGTGTGCCAGACTGGTTTTGTTCTGACCTCTTTCACTATTCAAGCGTTTTTATTTTTTATTATTTTCGACATATTTCTTGCTGTAAACCTTAATGTTGCTTGTTACAGGTGTTTCCAGATTAATGGACCTGTTAGCCGACTCTAGAGAAGTAATCCGGAATGATGTGAGAAGCTTTATTTTGTTGTTTACCAGAAATATAAAATCTTTGGAGATTTGGAGAACCAACTAAAACCCAAGGTGACTCACTATTTTCCATTTCCCATCAGGGGCTGCTACTGCTTCAGCAGCTGACTAAAGGCAATGCTTCAATTCAAAAAATTGTTGCGTTTGAAAATGCATTTGAGCGTCTCCTAGATATCATCTCCGAAGAAGGCAGCAGTGATGGAGGTACAATTCAGATCCATTCCTCTGAACACAGAAGGAGTACTGTTTTATTCTCTGACCCTGTCCCATCTTCTCAATGTATGAAGGTATTGTGGTAGAGGACTGTTTGCTGCTGCTACTAAACCTGCTAAAGAACAACAGCTCCAATCAGAATTTCTTCAAGGAGGGCTCTTACATCCAGAGAATGAAGCCGTGGTTTGAGGTGGGTGACGATAACTCTGGCTGGTCTGCACAAAAGGTCACCAACCTCCATCTCATGCTCCAGGTAAGGCGGCGTGCTGTCGTATGGACTGGGTGCTGTGTCATAATGTCTGTTACTGTTGTTGAATCTCCAGCCTAACTGATTAATGAGCTCTTTCTTTTCCCAGCTGGTGAGGGTGATGGTGTCTCCAGTCAATTCTCCTGGAGCTACATCCAGTTGTCAGAAGTCCATGTACCAGTGTGGCCTCCTGCAGCAGTTGTGTACCATCCTCATGGCCACTGGTGTACCTGCTGACATCCTCACAGAGGTAAACTGAACAAAAAAGCTGCATAAACTTGAATTAACCTTTTTTAAGGTCATTTTTCATGAATCTTGATTAATTTATGTCTTTCAGACCATCAACACTGTTTCAGAAGTCATCAGGGGCTCGCAGATCAACCAGGACTACTTTGCCTCTGTTAATGCACCTTCAAATCCCCCAAGGTAAACACTATTATTCATATTATCTAATCCTGCATATGTGAATATAATGTGTTCATGTTAATGGGGAGACTCTTCTGTGGGTTATTGTATTCAGTCCTGGACTGATCAGTCTATAAATTGTCAGTATATCTTTGGGGAATCATATTGATACTACTGATTTTTTTTCTTTCCACAGACCAGCTATCGTTGTGCTCCTCATGTCCATGGTGAATGAGAGACAACCATTTGTACTGCGTTGTGCCGTCCTCTACTGTTTTCAGTGTTTTCTCTACAAAAACCAAAAAGGCCAAGGGGAGATAGTGGCAACACTGCTGCCTTCCACCATTGATGGTGAGTGAAAATGAGTTAAAACCTTGATAAATTTAGCAACAATTGTTTTAACCCTTTCCATTTTAACAAAATATTAAAAGTATTACTTATTTGACAGAATAATCCTCCTTTTCTTTCAGATGGTTCAGATAACACATGTTACAAAACCTGTTTAATGCTGATAAAATGCCCACCAAACATATTGGAATATACCATTACAATAGTTATAATAGCTAAGTTTTAAATATTAGTTTTTCATATTTTTCTTTACATTTTTCCATATCAATAACACTTGACAGGTGTGAAAACACGTGTGAAACATCCACTTGCTGTCATTGATCTTTCTATTCCAGCAATATATGGATGTTTCCATACTGTAGTGGTTAGCACGCAAAAGGTCCTAGATTCAAGTCCCAGAGGAACCACATACTTGTTACAATTTCCCCAGTGTGGGATCAATTCATTTCTAATTATTACTATTTACAGTTTTAATGTTAACACCATCATCAGAAAGTATTTTAAAATATTTAGTCAGGTATTTCTATTTTCTAGCAGTGGTGGCTTAGTGGTTAAGGAAGTGGACTTGGGTTTGGAAGGTTTTAGGTTCAAGTCCACCAGCTGCCAAGTCACCACTGAGGTGCTCTGAGCATGACACCGTCTCCACACACGGCTCCCCGGGCGCTCAAAGCTGCCCACCGTTCACTATGGTGATGGGTCACAGTTGGTTGTGTGCAGTGGTGTGCTGTGTCACAATGACAAGGAGTTCACTTTCCTTCCTTTTAAAGCACGGCTGTTGATTGACTTGTTTTTTGTTTCTTTTGCAGCCAACTCTATCTCAGCAGGCCAGCTGCTGTGTGGAGGCCTGTTCTCAGTCGACTCTCTGTCCAACTGGTGTGCGGCCGTGGCCCTGGCTCACGCCCTGCAGGACAACCTCACTCAGAAGGAACAGCTGCTGAGGGTCCAACTGGCCACCAGTCTGGGAAAACCCCCCGTGTCTCTGTTGCAGCAGTGCACCAACATCCTCTCCCAGGTAGGAAATTTAAACACATATTCTGCAGAATTAGAGGAGATGCAGACTGGATCACTTTTCATGGACTGACTGTTTTTAGGTAGCATAGTTTTGTGTGAAATACATATGTTGTAACTGTCAACAGCAGTAAATAGAACAGTCTCGCATTATTATGGTTTTACAGGGAGATAAGATCGTCCGGCGGGTGAGTAAAGTGTGTATATACCTCATATATATATGTGTGTGTGTGTGTTTTGAGTGTTTGGGGCGGCACATGTCCGGGTTATTTTGGCTTGGCATCTTTAAATGGGGTCTTGGTGACCCATGTGTTGGGGGATCTTGCTTCCCTTTAACTCTTCACTACCCGTCTTTGTAACAGTTCTGTGCCTACGACCCAATTCTTTCTCATTAGTGCCACAAGGGTGAACCCTATCCCCATATTCCCCTATCCCCTTGTTCTCACTTTTACTGACGAGGTGTAAAGAAAACTACATGTGGAGACAAAGAGACTGTTAAGTGAAACAGTATGTGGCAGTTGACTCTTCTACAAACTGCTTTTAGAACGTTATTTTTGCAGAAGCTTTAGACCTTTTCTCTCAACACTTTACTATTGTAGGGTTTTCTCTAATATGATTATTAAAATCTTACCAATTCAGCCCCTTCACTCTCCCTGGGTTGTCTTTTTTCAGATTTCTTGCCTTTTATTGATGATTCATAAGTAGGGATGGTTTGATCTGATACTCAGAATAAAAAAACAACAACTTTAGCTCGTCTGATCCGATACCTAAGCCCTCAACTTTGTGTGACATGATGTAAACAGGGACATCACCTCAGCAACGGCAGCACATGGAATGTTGGAGGAGAAAATAAGGTATCGGATGATATTAGTGTTTACAGATTATCCAGGTTGCTGTATCGATATCGGACATGAAAATGTTCTATTGAGTGATTCATTCATAATGGACCAAAAAACAACATTAGACAGAAGGTTTATATCCTATCTAAATATGCAATTGAAGTGAAATCCATAGTTTGGTCATTTACCTTAGATGTGACCTATTTTATTTCGAAATCAGATTTTTTTGTTGATTAAAAACAGGTTTTTGTGCCCAGTCTTTTAACAAGTTGTGTAAAATATCAAAAACTCAAACATATTGGGGAGCATCAGTAATAATAATATTCCAAACATAAGTGAGTAAATCATATGTGCTTTCTTTGGGAATTGAACCCAGGCCTTTCTGCTTTTAAGGCAGACCTGCTAACCACTTCACTATGGAGCTAACTCTCAGTAGCCGTAACGTGGAAGACAACAAGTGTCTAGATTGTTGAGTTAGCTCAACTTTTTCAATTGTCAGCAAGTATAGTCATAATTGTAAACAAAAATGAAGATATCAAAACTGGGATGTGACCCAGAACTAAAATTACCAGTACATTTGTTTTGTTTTTAACAAATAAAAATAAGTTGAATTTTTTTTTCTTGTTTTTTTGGCCTTTACCAAATTCAAAATTTGGGGTTGACCTAGCCAAACTCTCCCACTGTCATGGACTGTTCTGTTATGTTCAATCACTGAAGGCTGCCCCGTTAATCTGTAATAGACACAGTTGAAGTCCTAAACTAAACTTAAACTTAAACTTATGCTCCTGCTTCCACACTGGTTTTTGCTGCCCCGTTAATCTGTAATAGACACAGTAGAAGTCCTGCTTCCACACTGGTTTTTGAATCCCGTTATTTTTGGACTCTGATATTGATTGGTGTTGAATAACGAAGACTAGCTTGCAGCAGTGACCTTCCTGGTTCATCTCTTGTATCAATGCAGAAAGTACCAGTCTGTGACGACTGTGACATAACGTGTTTTACTACTGGCACTTCGTGTAGTTTTCAGTACATAGGGATGAGAAACAGTTTCTGTAGTAACGGCTTGTCGCACAAGTTCGTTTGACGATCTTCTTTATTTGTTTTATCTTTCCGTCGCGTTTGGAGACGAAATCTGAAAAGGTGATTTCATAAGTTTTTGCTGCTGCTAAACTCTACAGCCAGGCTGTTTTTGCTCAGTGGAGACAGTTTCCCTGTGTTTCACTTGAGAACTTCGCTGCTTAAAGCATGTTGTGCATTTGATGTAAATGCACCAGCTTGTTATTGTGTACAGATTAAACTCAACTCTTCACTGGTTTCATCTGTACAGATTTCTTTTAAATTATTATTATTATTTTGAATGGTCTTGTCGTTTCCTGCTGTTCCTACAAAGACGAGTTTTCTGCAGATGTCCTTTTCTTCTGTAAAGCCGATGGATAATCAAGCTGAGGTTTTGCTTCCAATAGATAATCTCGTATAGTTTGCACAGCTAATTTTTTTAGAAGGTCATTTTATAGCTTTGCTTTGCATGTGTTTCAAACGTTTTTCAATCTGCAATTTTAAAATGCTTTGATACAAGCCTAGTTGAGGTGTTTCTGAGAGTTTACTACAGAAATTATTTTTTCTCTTCATTGTTAAAAAACTGCATGGCTAATAATGATTTTCTTTAAACATACTGACTGCATTCATTTAACGGCTTGTTTGTTAAGACACTAATAATTTCATTTGTCAAGTGGGTAATGTCATTTACACAGTTTTCTCCTCTTCACTTAAATACAGTTTAAATTTCTTTTCTTCCTTTTTAAATTTTCATCTGAATGGCACAGTTTCTCTGGTAATCATTTTTAACAAACGAAATAATTGGTTCTTTATCAGCAATTTATTTTAAAAATGTCTGAATTTAATGTGTTACAGCAGGAAAAAAAAATTGAATCCGCAATTAGCATCAAAATGTTAAATTTATATGAGCTGAAGTTGTTGAATATAAATACAGGCGTAACAACAAAACATCAGAAGTGTCTGACTTACACAAAAAACAAACAAACAATAAAGTGCCCTCTGCTGGCCATTCGGTTTTGTAATTCAAAGGTTACTGTTAACTGTATTTGGGCTGAAGATGAATCATTTGCAGGATGGAATTCCATTGCAAATGGTTATTGCATTTGCAGTTTGTTTATTACGGCTTCTTCTGTGTGCAAATTAAAAATGTTCTACACATATTTTTCTAAATTTGAATTAAAATATAGATCTTATATTAATAAAATATATTCTTAGCTTAAGTATTTTTTTTTTATATTGTGTTGTAATTTCCGAGGCCATCGTTGACATGTGTTGTCTTTGTCTTGTGTTGTGCAGGGCAGTAAAGTACAGACGAGGGTGGGCCTCCTCATGCTGCTGTGTACTTGGATCAGCAACTGCCCCATCGCTGTCACACACTTCCTACACAATCAAGAAAATGTTCCTTTTGTATCCTTGACCATTAATTGTGGCTATAAGTATTTCAAACCTGCTGTTTTATAGTGCAAGTTCATTTTAGTGCAAATCCTAAATAAAATACAAACCGTTGGTATACTGCAGTGATCATCAACTGGCGGCCTGTGGGCCAAATATAGCCCACTCAATCCGTCCTAAAACTAACTAATAATATTGTTAGACAAAAATGTGATTTGTATTTCATTATATAGTCGTCCCTCACTGTATCAGGGTTCGGCTGTCGCACCCTCAGTGCATCGCAGGTTTTCTTCATATTTTAAATGTATTTTTGTATTCTGGATTTTTTTGCTCTGTGTTTTTGCTGTGTATATAAAAAAAAATTTTTGCTCTGTGTTTTTGCTGTGTATAAAAAAAATTACATTTTCTTTTACACATACATACAGAGTAATGCAAGAAATGCGTTTTTTGCCACATTTCACGCCCTACGATGCCTCCTAAATGGTTCGTAAAGGGTTAATATATATACGTAAATAATATAATAACTATCACATCTCTATTTTGTGTGTTTTTTTAGGGGCCACTGCATTTGCATGTTGGCCCCCAAGGAGTCTGTCCAGAAAAATCCTGGCTCTCCGATAAATTGAGTTGCTGACCCCTGGTATACTGTATGTGCCCGCCCACTTTTCTTACTGCCAGAGGTTGGTTTTACACCTCATTCCTTTCTTCCCACCGTCCCTACCTTTTGCAATCTTTGACCTGTTGATGCTGTAGCTGACGGCTCAGATCTCAGAGAACCTGGGAGAAGATGAGAGGCTGGTCCAGGGCCTGTGCGCTCTGCTCCTCGGCATCTGCATCTGTTACAACGACAACTCACTGGAGAACTACACAAGGTAAGTGTCAGAGGTTGACGACATTAGAGTGAACTTATAACCGTGTTTTCATTCACCACTGTGTGTGTGTGTGTTAAGGGAACAGGTTGGATCAGAACTCTAACACACGTCCGTGCAGTGGGTTTTTTTTTTCTAAGACCTTGTGTTTTCTGCAGGGAGAAGCTAAAGCAGCTGATTGAGAAGCGCATTGGAAAAGAGAACTTTGTAGAGAAACTGTGCTTCATCAACAAACATGAGCTGTACTCCCGGGCAGCCCAGAAGCCACAGCCTGTCTTTCCATCTCCAGAGCAGATGTTGTTCGACCACGAGTTCACCAAATTGGTCAAAGACCTCGAGGGTTCGTCAGAGACTTTTGTGTTTTATGTGACTTTCATTAAAACAGTTTTTTAACGCCCACCCATCTGTTCTGTGAAGGTGTAATAACCAAAACGGTTCACAAGTCCAGTGAGGAGGAGAAAAAGGAAGAAGAGGTGAAGAAGACGTTGGAGCAGCATGACAACATTGTTACTCAGTACAAAGAACTGATCAGAGAACAGGTAAACGAACCAAATCCACTGGTGTTTTTATAAAAATACTGCACAGTTGTCTCTGTATTTGTTCTTCCAGAAAATTGTTGTCACATTTCTAAAAATGCATTAAAAAAATTCTTAATTTCATGAACATTGAACTGGGACAATACATTACCACAAGGTGGCACATTAAATAATGGTTTCCACCCATGGTTTTAAGTCTGTTTACAATACAACAATATTATAAACTGTAGAATTATTTTTTTTGAATTTTTTTTTCTTTATTGTGCCAAAAAGATTTGTAAAACACGTTCAATTTTTACACAGTCTCGATTCCTGAATCTGTTAGATGTTAGTTTGCTGTTGATGAATGAATGTTGATGAATTCTTCTTCTTTAAATCTTCAGGATTCTCAGCTCCAGGAGCTCAAGGAGCAGGTGGCCACCTTGTCGTCTCAGAATGAGCAGATGCAGACTACAGTCACACAGCAACTGGCCCAGATTCAGCAGCACAAAGACCAGTACAACATCCTCAAGTTAAAAATAGGTCTGTTCAGTGCACAGCCGGTTGTTGTGTCCTTAAAAAACAGAAATGTTTCAAGAAACAGCAACTTTCATCCCAAAGCCTAAAAAACACTCAGAAACAGTTTTTAATAAGTTGGACATGGACCTGATTTAATTATTTAGACAAATAAAGTGAAGAAGAGACCTCTTTTTCCTGGATGTCATCTAAGCCTAGACCTCCTGGTACTGTTTCACGTCAGTGGAACACACAGGTTACAAAAGCTGCATGGTTGTTAGGAACATCTTGGCTGACATCATGATTGTATGACATGCGTCTCTACTGTGTTTCAGGTAAAGACAACCAGAGTCAGTCAGGCAGCCAGGGAGACGGCTCTCAGGTGAATGGACTCCAGACAGAGGAGCTGACACAGCTCAAAGAGGAGCTGGAGGAGCTGCGGCAGCAACACGCGCTCCTGCAGACACAACTGGCCGACAAAGACGCAATCGTCAACACACTGGTTCGTAACCTCTGCCAAAAAAAACCTGTTACACAAATAATGTTTAATTGTTTGCTTTGATAAGTCTTTGAATGATAAATGACTTCAGACACGTGACTTTACAAAAGAAGGTGCAGCCTGACAAACATCAGACTACTTTACGTTCAGACTACTGTATGTGGGAAACACCTGTATATCTTTTCAATTTATCTCGTTCTTCATGTAGTTTTATTTTAAAGGCAAAATAACAAAACAATTCCATCCTCTCTGTCCATGTGCAGAGGTCAGAGGTGACAGCCACAACAGACAGTTCGGTGGAAGGATCTGAAAACACAGGACTGCTCAAGGTGAGAATCATTAACTTTGTTTTGACGTGCTTTCATAAGAAATGTTTCAATTCTGCTCTAGTGTGATTTCCTCTGATGAGAACTGACCCAGGATCAGCTGCAGAGTTAACCAGATTTCATTTGGTTTTCAACTCCTGGTCTGTGCAGGAGCTGGAGGCTTTGAGGAGTCAGATTCAGACTCAGTCTTCAGAAATCAACCAGCTGAAGACAGAGAAACAGGACCTTCTCAGAAAAGTGGAATCTGGAGTAAGTATACGAGTCCAAATTCTAACCAGAACATCGATGGATACAGATGTTGAATAAGAAACCTTTTCATTTTGTTTCCTTCAGTTCACAGACTCAGCTCCCACCAGTGACGACACATTAGATTCAGCCAAGATGGCAGAACTGGAGAGCAGACTGGCAGCACAGACGAGTGACGCAGAGCGACTCAAGGTGTGAATTCAGTTTTGTGCGTGTTGATGTTAACGTGTCAGTGTTATATGTCGTTCTTCTCCGATTTGTATGAAAATACCAACATTTCTTACTGTGGTTCAAAAGAGACCAACGTGAGATCAGGATTGTTTAAAGTCTGGGTTTTAATGGACGTATATTACTTTCATAGATGTTGTTCATTTATTTAAATGTGAAAACTAAACTAAATAAAACCTATAATGTATGCATGTGGGTGTGGAAAAAAACATTTGCAGACTGTGTGAATACTGTTACTAATACTAATACTGTGAGTACTGTTGTACTTTACTAGATAATTTTAGTCTGTGGAGTGAAAATTTTGTCCTTCAGTTCTAAAATTGATGACTTTTGACGAAACATTTTGACGTTTTTTTTTTTCAATGTGACCCAAACACACCTTTTGACGAAACATTTTGACGTTTTTTGTTTTTGTTGTACCATGTTGCTACATTTCTGTGAAATATAGAAACCAACCTCATTAGATCAGTCATCATGCCTTCTGTCCTTGCATTTCAGGAGGAGACTGAGAGCCTATTGCAGAGCCGGACAGAGCTTGAACATCAGTTGGCGTCGGCCAACAGCACCGTGGCCATTCTGCAGACTGAGAAGTCAAAGCTGCAAACCGAGGTTCAGGAGTCCAAGAAGGAGCAGGACGACCTGCTGATGCTGCTGGCTGACCAGGACCAGAAGATTCACAACCTGAGACAGAGACTCAAAGACCTGGGAGAAATGGTACACACAGCAAGTGTATTTAAATTATTATTTAAATTTACAAGGCAGTTCAGGAGAAGACGATACGAGTTTAACAGTCCCAGCTTACACAGTCGGCTTTTTATAAAGTTTATTTGGGTTTTTTCCAGGACAGGGTGTCTGTAGACATTACAGTGGTAATTTTGTTATTTTTTATTTTATAAAAAAAATCTATATTTTGAAATATCAGTCATTAAAAGCCTTTCCAATGTTTATTTAGTTGTACGTAGATCAAAGAGATGATTTGTATTTTCATCCTTTTGTCGCAAATGCACGTTTTACAACAGGTGGAAGATGAAGACGACCTTGATGCTAGGGACCAAACGGATGATGACGATGAAGAGGATGAAGATGAGGACTAAAGGAAAGAAAAACACTGAAAGAGGAAGAAGAAGGATTGGATGGAAATATCTTTGCTAGTGGGCAGAGAGAGACTTTACGTAAAAACATGGTCAGAAACTCGCAACTTGGACTTGTGTATAATAAAGGGGTTTGTTTTCCCGTCCAGAATCTTCATTTGTCCTCACTTGGTCACATCACATCTCAATTATTAGGTTTTACTCTTTGTGATGAGTTCTTCATTCTTCATTCTTCAGTGACAGCTAACACACGTCTGGTCAGTGCACTCAGGAGGAGTTGGAATTCACCTGTCATGTTTTTGGCAGCTTTTCTTTGCATAGTTTATGTTCACTGACAAATTAAACAAGATTTATTTGGTGCAATTAGTGAAGAGGATTTTCTTTTTAAATGTAGCAACAAATACCACAAAGATAAGTCTGAATATCGTGTCATTATTACCATGTAATGAAAAGATGCCTGCTCGTCCTCGGACAGACTTTTCCCACACATGGGAATGAGCTGCGACGTGTCATTGTGCTGTACCTGGAATTCACCTGCCTGTCATGCCTGAGTCAGTTTGGATTTGCGATATTTCATCCATTAACCCCCAACTGCTCTGCAATATGCTGCAAAACGCTGAGAGAAAAGATGTAAAGACTCGAAATGAATATTTTTGCAACTTGTTGTCCAGCTTTTAGCTTCTGTATGATACTGTGTAACTTAACCATTTATGAGCCACGTGGAAATAAAGAATCCATCACTCTGTATGCTTGTATGGACAAATAATTGTAGATAAATTAAATTTTACTAAACTTAGAGGGTTTGGGTTTTTTTTTTGTCTCCTTCACTCTATTTGTTTATTTTTTTCACAGGGAGTGAGTTTTAGCTCAGAGAACTGCATTTTAATTTGTCACATGTAGAGAAAAGGTTTGGGGTTGGTACTTGAACAAGATTTACTGTTTATTTAAAAATAAATACTCAAAAGAAAGTCAGGTCCAAACAAATATGGATAGTACATGAATTAAAATGCACAACTGACTTGGTTTTACATTTCAACTTGTCTGGGGTTTTCAGGAAACCAAGCCCTAAAAGTAAAAAAAAAAAAGAAAAAAACGTTGTGTGATGACTTCCTGTCCAGCAACATATTTATCAGCGTTTTACTGATAAAAGTAACGCGTTTCTTCTGTGACGCGTATTGGATCTGCATATTATTCAGCCCAAGCAGGTCATATGATTTAAACAACAGCTTGTAATAGCTAAGTTTCAACACCAGGGGGCAACAAACTCGTGATTCTCGTGTGGGTGCATGATAAGCTTTGGGTTTGTATGTTTTTTTAACGATTATACTCTAAACTCTGTAAATACTTTAGGGAAACATTAAAAAAATATTTTTTGTAGGAACCATAATTTTTATTAAATATATAAACCGGTTTCACAGCGAAATTAGTGATCAGCAAGTTTCGCTGATCACGAATAAACCGAAAATCTGACGATCCAAGTTTAAACATATATTAAAACTTGTATCGTCTGTTTAAATTGCCTTGTAAATTTAATTAATAATTCAACCAAACCGTGTCTACAATTTCGCCTTAGTCTTTGAGTCTGTGTTTAAAAAAAGCAAAATGAAAAAAAAAACTTAGATAAGACATAGAAAAGAAATTTACTTCGAAACCTAGAAATATGGAAATAGGAAGGAAAGAAACCATATGCATTGCACTTGTGAAGAGCTGTAGGGGTTTATATATTAGTTATATATGACATTATTCACTGTACTATTATTAGGCACTAAATGTGAAGATTAAGTATACATCTTTTTGGGAGAGTTCGGGGGTCAGTGTTTACACATGGTCACTACACTTCTACAACATGTCTGCCAGGAAACGCAGTCAAATGCATTTACAAGTTATTTACTTACCTGATTTACATGTATTTTCACAACAAACGTCTGAAAACATGCCAGTGTGTGGTTGAATGTAAATCATATTAGATTCATGCAAATTCAAAACAACAAGAAAAATGTTTTTACCAGCGACTAATGACTAACAACACCAGTAAAACACGGACCAGTACCAAGCAACCACGTGACATTCTGTTCTACGGCCACATTCGTCCCCAGAACCAGTCTTTGAACACACCTGCTTTAAATAAACCTGCGCTGCCTCGCCCCTCCCTGATCCTCCTCCTCTCTGCTGCTCGCATCCTGTCTTCACATCTCTCCTCCTCCCGGTTCTCCTCCTCCTGTTTTCCTTCCTTCATCCGTAGTGGCTCCGCCACCGAGAAATATTTTTTTTTAGATATTTTTATGTGTTTCGTTTCCATTTTATTTACTTTTTAACTGTTCTCCACCTCCCGCCGGGCATCATGACTTTCAAATGACCACCATGCAACCGCCACAGCCTCTGGTTTAACGTTCCTGCTCCACCCCCGCCGCCGCTGCCGCCTCTTCTCCACTGACAACCACCACCTGCCGGCGTGTCCTCCACCACATGACCGTCTCAAAGGTGAGCTCCACTTCCGTACGGTTACTTGTACTGTCAAAAGCCGAGTTGTGACTCAGGAGCAGCGGGCAGAGCTGAGCTCGTGTCCGCCTGCAGAGAGTGTGACGGCGGCGGCAGCCTCAGCTCCTGTGACCGAGCACCACAGCTCACAGCTCTGTGTGTGAGAGAGTCTGCAGCTGGTTTATTTTAGAAAGTATTGTTTGTTGTTTTTGGATGTTAAAACATCCTCCCTGTCGTCATCTAACGAGCACAGTTACAACGCCCCTGTCGACCGGACAACATTTCTGGCAAAACATTTACATTTGCTGTTCAAACTTCGTCCAAACATGTCCACATTTATACCTACCACATGGGCCACACGATGGAGGAGTGGTCTGGGTATCACCTGTGAGATTCCCATCGGTCATCGAGTTTGGAGTTGACATAGGCCAGAGTGAGGTGAAGGTTTTAGTTGAAATTGACCATAGGTGTGGTTGTAGTTGTAGTTCTAGGTGTAGTAGTGGCCTCGCCCTCATGGGTTCTGGGATTTGCTGCAGCTCCTCCAGGACCTTTAGGGATCAGGAGGTGGAAAATAAAAATATCCAGGCTGAGAGATTAGTCATTGTGATCTGTATATATAAAAATGTCATTGTGAAATGCTGCCTGGTGTACTGTAGCGCAGAGCTTCAGTGGATACATGAAGCTGTACACCGCCAACATCAGTTTGACTTTTTGGGGTCCTACTTTAAAAATATATGATGTTTTTAAAAAATGTACACCTAAATATTTGTATACTTTCCCGTTGCCATGCAAGTACACCTATATATTTGTATACTTTCCCGCTGCCATGCAGAAGGTTCTGTGTTTGAGTCCCACATTTGTGTGTGTCAAATAACTCCTGTGTGTGTGCGTGTCAGCTTGGGTTGTTGCAGCACGGTGTTGTGATGGTGCGGAGGCGTCATGCGAGTGTGAGATCACATCAGATCTGTCATCTACCTAATGGACAAACTCCTGCCAGGGTTAACATTAGACTAATGACTTTGGACACGTTGGGAACCAAGAACACAACTCAGAGTAAACGTTGTCAGATGCAGCTGGTCCAGAACACCATGTGTTGGACATCCTGAAGTTCATTAGTGTGTGGTTGAGTAACACTCTATAGTATTTTTGGGCACAAACTGTTTACACTTTTATGTTGGCCAATAAAGCCCACCCTGTATCGCTGGCATGTTATCACACAGACTGTTAACACATACCCGACGTTCTTCTTCTCCTGCGTCCAATTTGTGACCTTCAACGTTTGCTATGAAAAAGCTCAGCTTTACAGAGACTACAAGGGAGGAGTGATTTAAAAAAAAATGTTCTTCTCATGTGGAAATCACAGAAACATTTTTTTTTATTTTAATTTCATGATCTTATTTTCATTTTCCCCGTCACACGTGCCTCTCGTCACCCAGATGTCAAAGTCCAGCCTCCGCCTGTGGATCCAGGGTGTGCTTTTGAGTAAATAGCAGTAAAGCCGGCTGCCATGTTGCAATAAAAATGGAAGTTGTTAACAGTATTTTAGACATCAAATAAGACAAGCGATGGAAAAGGGTAGAAGTCCAGAAGAGTTTTTACACTCTCATCGTACAATACTAAGAATGTTTACCAGAAGAGTTTTTACACTCTCATCGTATAATACTAAGAATGTTTAGTGATGTGATGTAATGTATGATATTTTTAAAACCTCAACCTCAGTACTTCATGTAAGATGGAATCAAATGTTTACTGACATAACCGTGCCACTTTAATGTATGTTCATTTAAATAGAAACAGCTAGAAACTGGTCTTAAACTGGATCTGTTAAAGTGTTCCCTCCGGTGTCGTGTGGATCTGTAGAATGTGTCGAGTTTGTGGCGTTTTCGTAGATCAATACGTGTGCTAATGTACACGGAGGCGAGTGGGGCAGTAAAAGGTGGTTAGTAAATATGTGTCAGTGTGGGACGGACTGTTGCACAACTCCAGATAAAGATCACTATGTGGAAAAACAAAACGAGCTCTATAAAATATTAAGGAATGTAGTGAAGTACTGTAGCAGTTGAAGTGTCATTGTGAGTAAAACACAATCATTCGTTTTTATAGGTATGACTGACATTAACTGTTTGCCAATATTTGATATTCCGATGTTGTTCAAACACTTGATTTCCAATTCCGATATCAACCAACAGCGATATACGCAGCCGTTTTTCCACAAAAAGATTTTTAGAAAAAAACATTACCTGCTTTTATTGTGATGCCCCCTAGAGGAATTCCGCAAAATAAAACTGACAACTATTCTTACCGATATCAAATAATTATGCTAACATAGCGCTAATAATATTGGTCGCCCGATATTATCGGACATCCCTAGTTTTCTGCATTATTAATTTGTTTCTTCACCGTGTCATGTGACACTCCATGTACTAAACCCGACTCAGCACCAAACTGACTTTATAAAGTGTCTGCTTCAAAGTCACAGCCTTTCACTGAATACGGTCCAGAAATGCTGTCGTCATTTCAAGTCCTTGTGTGTAATGGGATCCTGCATGTGTGGGAGAACCTCTCGTTGTGTTGGTGATGTACAGAGTGAGCCGGCTTACCTTACCTACTGCTGCTTGGTGTCACTGCAGGGAACAGCCCTTAACACAGCGCAGTATAATGACTGTCTAAACAATTAGCTAGTTTGAGAATGAGCTGTGTGTGTTCCCTGTCTGTACGACATGGCTGTTACATCATCATCAGATCAGCCGGGGCAGGGCGCCCTGCACGTTTCTGACATGACAGCCTGTCTGTTGAGGGATTATCTGCTGCTGCTCGCACGTGGGACACACAAAGAGAGGATTACTTTGAAGAAATCAGAGAGGGAGTCTGTATGTCTGTGCACTGTTACTTTCATTCTAGTCATCTTGTACAAAATTAGGTGAACACAAAAGGTTACAGGACAGAAGAGGAACTGCACGCCATTTGTCATTTACTGAACATTTTATATCTGTAAGGATTAGATGTGACAGCAACCAGACTGTCACTCCCTCTTCAGGTGTTTTATCGAATTGCTGGTATCATAACAGAACAAATTTCACTGCTTTATTTAAATAAACTTCCCACGCGGGCAGTGAGACACTGACCTGATTGAAAAACACTGCTCTAAATTGACCAAAGGAATAAATGTAAAGAACAATGTGGAGAACATTTCAGGATGTCCCCTGGCCCCCACGATAACTGCTGTGATTGACCCCACCCCACCCTCTGACCCCCACCTTTGACCTTGAAAAAAGGATTAAGTATTAAAGAATGAACAAATAAAACTGTTGTTGTCCT